TCTGTTTATGTGCTGGCTCTTTTAGCTACTCTGGATTGGAAAATGGAGAGAGTCTCTTACAAGACAGTAAGGGAAGTGGGAGTTATATTAAGAGCACCCAAACCTAGTAAGCTTTCAGAATTTTTAGTTTAGCATAGAACTTCAAATTGTCTAGATACCATGACTGGGAATGTCGTTGGATATTATACCCTATGTCAACAGATTACACCATTTACTGCCTTTATCACTGCCCAACCTATTCAGTGATACTTATATCCAGTCTCAAGGCCTACAAAAAGTTTATAACTTTGCAATACTAGCTGAATCAGATAACTTATTTGTTTACTTTTTTGCTAAATAAGGGTTTTTCCTTCAAGATTTTGCAAGGTCTAATATAGAAAATCTACAGCAACTTTTACCCCCTGGATGCAATTCTTCTGCTTGGGCTGTTTGCCTAATACCTTCTCTCAAACCCCCCTCTATTTGGGTAGAATTGGGGACCTTGTTTTAGGCAATGCTGGTTTACAGTTATCCAGGTCTAGCTACGCAGAAGGTCTTCCCAGAGGTTCAAACAATAGAGTTGATTCCTCAGATCTCTCGTTTTCCACCATTCATTTACAGATGTTCTATTATCCTTCTATCCTTGCCAACACCAGTTATCCTGTACCTCGTAACTATCAAGAAAACATACAATGGACCTAGCATCAAAGGCACATCATAAAAGATAAAAGCATCACTGTGCATAGTACAGAAGAATTAGAACAACTTGTAAGTTTAATTCCACATTACAGCCACTTTTCTATCTATATAGATTTAATCTGTAGATCCAGTCATTCTATCCAAATGGTCAGAAGGTGCCTAATTCCTTTATTACTATTCCAGAGGGCACAATTACCAGGTGAGTTTTATACTTTTGCTTGTTGAATAACAACTTTTAACAAATATGTTTGAAGTAGTACACTAGATTTGTGCAATGTGGATGGCACACTACTAGCCTTTATATGCACTTCTATGTCAAATTATCTGCATGCCAATCTACAGAACCTTTTAGAGCTCTTGTTTGATACTGAAGGGATACAGCAACTTATTCACCAGTCTGGTAGTTCTTTTAAAGAGGCAGCACCTTTCCAAAGCCTGCATTTTTCAAGTTATAATTGCTATACTACTAAGGTTGGCTTTTGTTAAAATACTTTCAAGTAATTTTATGCTTATTTTATTTCTTTGTTTAAGGGAAAAGATGCTCCAACAAATGTTCACCCAAGATATCTGGTATGAGAAGATGGTAGAAGGGTAAACTATTCTCAGATACTGCCATGCCCATCAGAAGATATACAGAAATTGCCTAGTCTTTATAACAACCTTCGAAAGGCATTTTCAGGAGTTTTGTCATGGATAGAAGTATTAGTAAGTTTATTTTACTCTGTAATTTCAACCATCTAAAATTATGGTTATTAGGTTAAGAAATCCCTTCCTGATGAATATGCAACATTGGCAAAAGTGATAGATATTTTGCCAGGATAGCCAGGATCACCTGTTTCTCCTTGGTTATCCTGGGTAGTCATTATTAATGTTTGCACAGAAGCTCATCATGATGTTGGTGATAGCAATATTTGCTTGATCCTTTCTATTGGTTCCTTTCAAGGCGCTGAGCTTGTGTTATTAGAGCAAGACCTAATTGTAGGTTTAAGGAGTGGAGATTTAGCTATAATCTGTTCAGGAGATACATGGATAGATGGGCATAATGGGTGTGAGGAACACCCTTCATTTAATTGATTAACATACATATTTCTGTTACTAAGCTAACCAATGTTTGCTCTACTTGAGACCAAATATTCAAGGGCCTTCAAAGTAGGGGAGTAAGCTATCTCTCTTCTCTGAAGCCTAACTGATGCTGATTTCTCTCTAGGAAGTCAGGAGATGTTATCTGATATATCAATAAGCTACAAAAACCTTGAGGAATCAACTGCTTCTTCGCAGAGGAGCGGGTAACCCAAGGCTTCTTCACAGAAGTGGGGTTTCAGCAAGAGGAACATGAGGCTTACTAGAGGTTTACTGTTAACACTTAAGTATTACATATCTGCCTTATACTCCTGATTTCTCCACAATATATCTATAGGCTTCCACCTATTCTATTTGTGTTTTTTAGACTTTAAAATGGTCAGTTTGCTTTATGGTTTTAAGAGCTTAATATTTGAAATGACAGTTTGATTTTTCTATTCCGTACTCCTAGCATCTAATACAAGGATTCCACATGGTGCTGTGGAGTATCAAAGCATAGAGCTTTTAATAGCACAGTTCTCCTACATGCTTATATCACAAGCAAGGGTCCTTGAAGCGAACCACTAGCAAAAATGGTATAATGCTGAAAAAGGGAACATTACAGTGTAGGATATATATATTAGATTTCTTCTTGCTCAAGTTGGACATAATCTACTTCTGTTGTATTATCATCAACCCTTGCTCCAAAGGTAATCTGTTCAAAGGGATTTCAAATGCCTCTCCCAACACCAACCATTGGATAAAGATCTTCATCAGAACTCAACACATCAAAAAAAATCTTCAACTATTGATAAGACTGCAAACTCAGTTGACCTGAGTCTGATGGGCTCCACTAGCTGCAGGAGCTAATGCCACAGGTTGTAGAGGATGGGCTCGTGTCATAGCCTTGAGGTAAGCTTTTGATTTGCTAAGGTGGGATATACTTGTGTTTTTTTAAGTACGTGCCCATAGTCCCAACATTGAACCTTCTGTGGTTCATTTGCCTTGGAGAGAATATCACTAAAACCTTGATGATGTGTGTGTTAGTACAGTGACTCCAAAAACCCTTTCCATGTTAACTCTAAATGTCATCATGAAGCATACCATCAAATGGCTTGAGTACTACACCTAGCTTTGGTGGGATTATAAACAGTACATACCACTGGCTATAAAATTGCCTAATAGGTCATGTAATGTGGTTCACATGCTTTAGAGATATGGTCACTTTAAAACAGCAACACTATGGAAAGGGTTTTTTCATTGTTGAACTGATGACTGGAATTTTGGTTCAAATATTGAATATTTGCCTTTATTTGTTGGTACAAACAAAGATATATATACAAATAATATGTCTGAGTTTCAAAAAGTTCACACACTTCTTGATTCTCAACTATGATTATGGTCAGAATCCTCTCTCTTACTCAAAAAAGCTCTATTTTTTCATTGCTTGATGCTGGCTACTCTGGTAAGCCATTGCCAAGCAAACTGATAGTAGCCCTTCTATTCTACTATATCTAAACTTCACTCCAAAGAGTGTTCTGCCCTACCTAAAGCTATTGGAGGTTGTGTTAGTTTTGGTGATTCTGCACCTTTGTGCTAACTATATATTTTCATTCCTTTCTCTATCTATTCTTCTATCATTCACTATTGATTGTGTTCTCTATTATTTCGCCTTTGTGGCTGCTTTGTTTACCTTTGTTTACAAAACTTTGGACAGTACTGCAGAGTCCAATGCTTCCTATTCTCTAGTTACTCACATTGGACTCTAGGTACTGTATACCTGTCATACTCTCTAATAATACAGTTACTCACATTGGACTCTAGTTCCAGTCCCTGATTGCTCTCAGCAAGTGGCTAGACACTTCCTTCAAGCTTTGTTCTTAATAGGTTGTCCTTTCAAGCTTTCCCCTATTAACATTTGTCATGCCCAACATCTTATTACCTCTGACAAAGTTGACAATACTGTCAAAGTGACCAAAGCCCTTACCAAAATCATCAACCAGCCTCTCTCTCCTAACACTGTTTGTCTTCATTTGAAAAAATCTGGTATGAAGACTGTGGTGAAGTCCAAACTTCTCTCTACTAGGGATCACAAAGTTTGTTGGGATTTTGCCTATGCCCACAAGGATGAGGGCCTGTTTGGGAACAATTTTTTCATGGTTTTTCTGATCTTTTTTCTCAAGCCAAATTTTCCCCAAACACAGTTCAAACTGAGAGTAAAATGGAAGGATAGAACTATTGTACCCATCATAACTAGCCGTCTACAAATGTGCGCAGAACGAGCTTATCAAGGCAATCAAGTGGATGGAGAGGGAAGAGATCAGCTGGCAAAGGTGGAAAGGGCCAAGATTACCTCTAATCAATACTGTACTCTCCTGCATGCACAGCGGTAAAAAGATATCAGGACACAGGTATCCAAGCTGATATCCATCATCCTCGGCACTATCACTTAATCTGCCACCCTTATCAATGATGATTATGCTAATAAATTGCCTCCTGTTCTGTACCATACCTTCATCTTGACGGGATACACATGGGTTTGGGAGCTGATAGATGGGCATCCAGATAGAATCAGGACCTAGCTTGGCATGTGACAGGAAATATTTGCAAAGCTTATTGATCTTCTCCAAGTGCACAGCTACAACAATTAAAAGCACATTTGGATCAAAGACCAGTTTGCCATCTTCTTACATGCCTGTGTAACAGGGCTATCTACATGACATTTTGGTGAGCATTTCCAATAATCAAATGATGCTATCTCAAAGTAAGTGTATTTATCTTTATCTGCGGCTCCTTACTAAATTTTACACAGATACTTCAAATGAATGTTAGAAGAGTTCACCTAAGCTGATACATATATATATGGCCTACCTACATCTCCTGGACACCAATTCACCAGCACCCACTGTGATTGCCAATAACCCCAAGCTCCACCATTTTGAGGGCATGTTAGATGCAACTGTTAGATGCAACTAATGGGACTCACATTGCATGTATTCCATCAGCTAGTGGGCAAGACACTTCCCGCAATCACAAGGGTGGGGTCTTGCAGAATTGTCTATTATGCTGTGACTTTGATATGAAGTTGACCTTTGTCCTTAGCAGGTGAGAGGGCTTGGTTTCTGATACAACTTTATTCCAGGATACTCAGACTCACAATTTGTATATCCCCCCTGGCCATTACTACCTCGTTGATGCAGGCTTCCCATCTTGCAACCATCTGCTGGTATCATACCGGAATACTCAATATCATTTGACTAAATATGCATGGGGTAATCTTTGGTAAGTAATGCAAAGCTTTGGAGTGGGCTGTTCTGATCTATTACAGGCCTCAAGGTCCACAGGAATACCTTAAACTGTGTCATGATACTCAAAGTTGCCCCAGAATTCAATATAGGCATCCAAGCCATGATTCCTCCAGCAGTCTGCCTGATCCACAACTTTATTTAGATGCACGACCCAGCCAACATCAGCAAGCCCAATTCTGACATCCTTGAACCTCTTCCCAACACGAACTATGGAAACATTGCTGACAGTCGGTATGCCAACCGAGGCAGGCCACATACTTGCAAATGAAAGGCGGGACAATATTGCAAGGGCGATTACCAAGCCGAGCTTTATAGGAGATGTAATTATTTATAGTGAATGAAAAAAAAGATGAAAAGAAAGATGCAGTCTTGTAAATAGAGACTGTGTTATTAAGAGAGATATATACTTAGTGAATGAAAAGAAAAATTAATGGTATAATTAGTATGGTGTATCTCTAGGTATGATAGTATTAATCTTACCTCAGTCTTGTAAATAGAGACTGAGGTCAAAATAGTAATAAGTGGAATGCTAAGTACGAGTTGAACAAAGTCCAAAGTCTAAAATCCAAATTGGGAAGGAGTTTCACATACCTCAAGAAAGAACACATGTAAAGTGGAATAGAGTTTGATGGTCATAGTTCATGGTCATACTCTTATCTACCTCAACATATTATGGTCTCAATCCTGCTAACACCACCTTTTAGCAGGACAATGACCCCAAGCACACCTGCAGGAAGGTCAAAGACTGGCTAGAGGAGCAAGCATTCAACACTATAGTTTGGCCTGCACAGTTTTCTGACCTAAACCCTATTGAATATCTCTAAGGTTGCCTCAAGAGGAGGCTTGCAAGGTGTGAAAATCCCCCCAATGGGATTCATAATTTTTGGGAAAGGGCTCAAGTAGAGTGGAAGAAGATACCACTTGAGAATTGTCAGAAATTGATTTAAGCATGCCTAGAAAGATTCAGGCAGTGCTTAGGGCAAAAGGAGGCTATGCCAGTACTGATAATACCCAAATACCCTTATCAATTCAAAAGTGAAAAAACCATTTCCATGGTGTTGCTGTTTTAAATTGACCATCTCTCCATAGCATGTGAACCATATCACATGACCCATTGAGCAATTTTATAGCCAAGAGTATGTACTATTTATAATTCCACCAAAGCTAAATGTAATACTCAAGCCATTTGATGGTATGCTTCATGAATAACACCCAGAGTTAATATAAAAAGGGTTTTTGGAGTCATTGTATTGGTGAGTGTTTGTGCTTTTGATTCATACCTCCTGTGACGTCTTGACCTCTCACTACAGGCATTAAGTGATTAAATCCAAATTGGTTTTTCACCCCAGCTGCTGGCACCCAGATCTCTAACCTGTGGTGCACTGCCACACTAAAAGTATTCTATCCGGTTTGTGCCTCTTATTTCCACTTTATTTTCCTTTTTATGCTGTCTTTAATTATTTTTTTTTCACCCATTTCTTTTCAATTTCTTTTTATCCATGGCCAACTGTGCTGATGAATACAATATTCCCAGTTCTTATGTTGCCATTCCATGCTCACTAACCCCTTTCACAAGCCTAACCTCCATACCACCTGAATCCCCAAACCAGGAAAATATAAGCCCTTGCCCCAACCTAATTACTGAAACTTTCACTTTAAGCTCTGCTCAAAAGCGACTTGCTGAAGACCTGACTCAGTTTGCAGAAGAAGTCATTTGAAATGTTCAACTAAAACCTGCAGGCTATTTACAGATGCTTGCATTTGCACACTTTTCCCCTGCCAAGTGGCAGATTGCACTTGCAGCTCAAATCTACAAAGTGCTGGAATGTCAAGATAAACTCCAACCCCTGGGTGTTGCCTTCACAATACCTGACAGCATGCAGGTGAGCTTGTTTTACTCCTCTTTTGTTTGGTGTTGTATATTGACAAAAACCTATTCACAACAATCATCTGCCCAACTTTAAGTGACTACAAGAAGAACAATGGGCTAGATAGATTATTAATGGTGAAGAATTCATCCCTCATCCTTTGAGATTCAGTACTCAAAATGACCTGCAGGATAAAGTTGAGAAACAATACCTAGCTACAACATCAAGTGCAAGTTAATTGCAAAGTGCATGAAAGATTACCTCATATTATGTTGGTTAATCAGATCACAAACTCAATTGGAAAAGAAGATCCTACAGACAACAACAAGAATGTTGCAGCACTCAACATCCTTGCACTATCCCATAAGATACTGAAACTTGATTTTATGGTACAGGTCTCACCATTAATTGAAATGGTAGTGAGGTTTGCATTCTTGGTGCATCACAGTTTTTTCTTTCTTTTGAATATTAGACTTTCTCATACTTTGAGGCCTTTAGTGAAGACACTCACAAGATTCACAAATATGTATTTACTTGTTCATCCTCATTGCTCACTACACTTATCACACAGAGTCTTCAAGTCCATTTTTAATAATTCTACATAGGCCTATCTATTGAATATTAAGCTACTGTTAAGACACTATTGAGCAGAAGGAATACTACTGAAACATGAACTGGGGACATTATAGAGAGACTTGTGCTGTTGACAACCAGAATTCCTCAGAAAACCTTGTTAGGATATATTATTGAGACATTTTAGACTATATATATCTTTTGACATTGTATGATTTGACGTTTTGGTATTGTACAGACATTCCTACATACTCCAGGTATGTCCAGGCCTAACGGGGCCAACTTCATCCCAAAATGTCAATGTGTCATCTTGCCAGGATGGTGATGTACTGCACTGCTCATGTGTTGCAACAAAAACTATGCAAGCAAACCTAAGTGAAATAACCAACACAATGTAACAACCAAAACTTTATACTCTGGCGCACAACTACATCAAGCAGAGAGGGTGAGGGAAGGAGTGGATCAACTCCCTTATAACAGGACTAAGTTAGTTATGGGTAAACAACCGGAGGATTTACTGAAGAGTCTTTATCTATTACAAGAGTGTATATACTAAAATACATGTGGTATTGTACAGTTAATACAAATTAAGGTAAATGTTCCATAGTGTTCCATCATATTATATATAGTGTCACTGCTGAGTAAGTAAAGTGTCTGATGTCATAGCATGTGACAAATCATGTGTTGAGTCTAGACATTGGTCAGGTGATGTATCACATGACTAGTCACATGACTTTCAAGAGTTAAAGTCCAAAAATAAAAGTGAAATTAGATGCCAAAAATACTGTTGTAACATTTTTCTCAAGACAACGTCTCCATTTTTTTCCTTGTACTCCTTGCACCTTCAACTAATTATGCCTGCATAACTGGTTAGAACTTTCCAATGAAATCCAGCACTGGCTTGTAAGGCTAACCGCCAAATCTCAGCATTTAATGTGGGGTCACCATGCCTTCTGGATTGATTTTGTAGCATTAAGTCCCGAGTTCCCAAATGTTCAGAATCAGATGAGGGAGAAAAATTGGCAACAAATAGTAAGGATGATGTATTTGAACGCATCTGGTTTGAATTTTTCAGATGTGCTGCCCTCTTTTTCTCTTCTCCCCTCACCTCTTCTAGATGATTGAATGACATTGTATACTGCTGTAGAATTTAGGTAGTAGTTATCATGTTCCATATATATGTTATACTGTATATCTTGTTTGTACATTGTATTATTTTGCTATTAAAATTTTGCTGTTCTCATTCTCAGATATTCCCGCATCATTACTAGATATTCAGATGTTTATAGGAAATACATTCAGCATAGAAATTGTCACACACATGTATACCACACATCTAGATAAGACACAATACATATACTTGATTGTGAGTATTGATTTGTGTTCCCACATTATTCAAAAAATATATAAGGTCCCAAATTCATAATCATGTATGCAACACCAATTACAACTTTGATTACATGCATTACAATTTTGTTCAATATTTACTTGTCATAGGTAAAGTTGGGGCTTTGCTGGATTTAGGCTTAACCTTTTGATAAAACTAAGTGAAAGGGCAGGATGCCCAAACTACAATAGATGTCAGTTTCAAGTAATCTCTATAGAATGTAATGTAACATACCTCAGCCACTGTCTGAGAGGCTATAGAAATGACTGAGGTATTCCTATACTAATTCCCCTACTACTCATAGACAGAGGTGCTACTTGCTAAGGTATAATGACTCCAAGGAGCACAATAGCTGCTTGGTGTAAGCCTATGTAGGCTTACTACAATTGCTCAATGCTCATTGGACACTCTTCTTTGTTTATATGTCATTGCTGATGTAGATACATTGTTTGTACTGAGTAGTACTTAAGCCCCTGTTGTTTGATAACATGTAGTTATTGCTGGTTTTCCCCCTTGTTATACATGCTCCCGTCTACTTTCTGTTCTGTTCAATCATCTTAGTGTTCCACCCCACAGTGGCTTCCACTTTTTTTGAAAGTTCAATTGTCGCATAATAACAACCAAACCCCTATCACACTGTTACATCCCTGTTTGCCAAACTGTCACAATTATTGTCAAAACCGGTGTTTTCTGCAACACATAGCTGTTCCCACCACCACAGTGCTACATACCATCACATTACTTCACATCACCAAATCCAATCTGAATCATCATCACAATACTCATCATCAGATGAACATCCCCAAACACACTCTATTATGAATTCCTTGTCAAAGAAGTGTTGTGTTGAACAAGCCTCTGGCAATAAATCATCAATAATGACTGCTGGAGAACTGACACTGGAGGCTGCTTGTGCATGGGATATGGTGTGTTGTCAATACTTCATGCACAAGGCTGTTCCCAATGATGAACAAGTCAAAAAGGTTGCCTGGGGAATGCAAGATGTTTGCATCAAGACTGGTATTTAACTGATCAAGCCTGCATTGTTAGTTTATCTTTCAACAAATACATTGCAGAACTTAGGTCAAACTGGTTGCCGGCAGACTGGACCGCCATTGTTAGGAAGAGAATTCTAAATTCCACCCAGGGCTGGTGTCCCTTTTTTGAGTGGGCAATAGAATGCCAATTCCAGAATTTTCTTCTTTGCAATACAACCTCACACTTATCCAATGTCCTGCTCAAGCACCAGCTTGAGGCCAACATGCTGGACAATCTCACCCTTGACTGTTGCCATGATAAGATCAACGACGAGAAAGACTTAGCCAAATGGATTGACACTGTCAAACAACTCAATGATAAAAGACTTATAGCTCTTGCATGCCAACAAGAAGCCATGGACACAGCTATCCGTGCAGAAAAAGCCGCTTAAACTGCAAAAGACACTAAAAGCACTGAACGTAAACACTTCAATAACAAGACCAATACCCCTTTTATTTGATTACCGCCTCTAACCCCTGCGGAAAGAGAAGTATTATCCAAGCACTCCAGCTGTTTAAAATACCACAAGCTCAATGTTGATCACAAGTCACCTGACTGCCTGAACGGCTTTCCCAGTGGCAAAGGTTACAAACTGATCACAGAACCCAACACCATGAAGACAAAAACAACGCCTGTGGCTGCCGTACTGGACTCTGTTGCAGTAGGTATGCCTTCCTCTGTCCTAGGCAATGGCTCCAATTCTGCAGATAAGTGCATTGCACCATTTTGTGTCCCCCACTTTACTTGGTTATGCCTACTTGATGGGCCTCTTTTATCTGCTGCGCTTCCTGTTGGAGCACTTATTGACCATGGTTTGCATGCTTGTTCAACAACTTGGTCTTTGTATCCACAAACTGCATAAGAAGTGTTCAAAGTACCTGTCTCTAAAGGAGACCATTCTGATTTTGTTTTGACTCATTATGTCCATCTCTCTTGTTCTTCTCTTGATTGTTCTTGGAATTCTCGCACAATATGCGCAATTATTGTGCCAAATCTCTGTACCCCTCTTTTGTTAGGCACCCCTTTCCTTCAACACAACAAAATTGTGTTAGATCACAAATTACGCACTGTTATTGCCAAAGACTCTGGATATGACTTGATCAATCCCATTACTATTGTTTCCTCTTCTTCCTCTGGAATACCCAATGACTTCACTTTAGCTGATCATAAAAAATACTGGGTTACCCAACTTAATGTTGTACTTCCCACCCGCAAACAATGCATGCAAATAGGTCCTCAGCAACGTGCAGATTATCACCTAGTGGCAGCTGTACCACAAAGAATCAATGTGATAGCATATAAACAAGAACTATGCCGCTTAAACTCCTCCTTCAAAAACCAGTTTGCAGACAGACTCCCACCGGATATTCATCATAACGACTCCTTGCCTTCTGATATCCTGTTCCAAATCTCTCTTAAAGATCCCAATAAAGTCATACAAACCCATTCTTATGGCTGCCACACAAAGTATTGTGATGCATGGAAGAAGCTATTAGATTCACATCTTCAAAGCGGCCAACTACAATATTCAAATAGTGTGCACTCCTTCCCTGCCTTTATTATTCCCAAGTCCAATCCAATGGTCCTACCTTGCTGGGTCAATTATTTCTGTCATCTTAATGTTAACACAGTCCTGGATAACCATCCTTTCCCAAGGATTGAAGACATTCTCAGTGACTGTGTGAAGGGTAAAATATTTGGTAAAATGGATATGACAAATTTGTTCTTCCAGACCAAGGCACATCCCAATGAAAATAAGTTCTTGGCCATCCATACTTCTTTTGGTCTGTATGAGTGGACAGTTATGCCCATGAAAGTCTACAACGCTCCTGCCATACATCAATGTTGTATGACTATGGCATTCCGTCATTTAATTGGTAAGATCTGTCACATCTATTTAGACAACATCATCATCTGGTGGCAAACAATAGAAGAACACATGGTCAATGTTGACATGGTTTTAAATACCCTTCAAGAAGCCTTATTATATTGCTCCTTAAAGAAGATGTCACTGTTTAACGCCAAAATAGACTTTTTAGGCTATCACATCTCAGCTAGAGGCATCAAGCCTGACCAAAACAAGGTGGCATGCATACTTGATTGGCTGGTGCCCACGAAGTCCAATGACATCCGAGCCTTCCTGGGACTTGTACATTTGTTTTTCCAGTCATCTACTTGCGATCACCACAGCAGTTGTATGTCCTCAATCTGTGGTCTGTATTATTTATTTATTCCATTTTCTTTTCAGATTGAATGTTCCCTCAGGGGATATGTGAATGGTAACAAAGCTACCCAAGAATTCTCAGAGAGTATTTTAAAATCAGGTACAATATCATTTATTTATGTCAGACTTAGTTTTTATTTTATTTAAAGGTGGGAGTGCTATTTCAGAAAGCTGTTGGTGCTTCAGAAGAAAGGCCCTGTGTGGATGAAGTAAATGGGAGACGGTCTGTACCAGGACATTCTGTAAGTACCAGTATTTTGGCTGTTACCACCATCACTAATTCTACTATAACAGAAATCTGGCCAATCTCCATTATCTAGGGATTGATGAAGACCAGATGAAGGACGAGGATTTTGGTACTGATTTTGAAGCTCTAAAGGATACTATCATTGCACAAGCTGCTTGATAGTATTTGTAATTGCTCTCCTATTTACTGTTGCATATAGTATGATTGCTAGTACAAAATATGACTGCGCTGTTTTCATTTCATTATTTGGTAATTGAATGCAATACGTGCTATGAGTGCTTTGAGTACTATAGGTACTATGGATATTCTAATTGAAATAAGTGCTATGGCTACTCCAAATGCCATTATAGTATTAGCATTACTATATGAGTGCTATAAACACTATAATTATAATTGCCATAGGTGTTATGGATCCTATGTCTACTCTAAATGGCATCATAGTATTGACATTACTATAGAAGCTTCTTGGAACTATAGTCAACTATGAGATCACTATAAGAGCACATTGTGCCTAAATAGATGATGGGGTTTCTCTTACAGCTATGATCACTATGACAGCTATTTTTGCAATTATAGTACTATAAGAGTATACATAGCCAAAGTGTTTTTCCTGATGCCTAAAGAGGAGAAAGAAAGTTGAAAGTCCAAAAATTATATGCTGTAATAGCCACAGCTGAACCTGAATCACCAAGCAAAAAAGAATGGTGGGCAGATTTTGACATGAGTATCTTATTGAATGGATGAAGAATAATAAGGTTTGTCTTTCTGGCCTCAAACAGAGAACAAAAAAGGCAAGTAGTATGACATGTTTATTTTATTAATATAATATACCGCTACAGATCTCATCACTGTGATTCTTGCCTTACCACATAAAAAACAACCTTCAAAGACTGAGGTTGCATTACTTATGACTGATGTAAGCTTTTGTCCTACTTTTGAAATAATTATACTCATAACTTTCACTCCAGCAAAAAATGAAGAATGTCCCTCGCAAGGCCACAAGGACCTCATGAATATCAGTGTCAATTATTGCACAGGGATGCATGTGTACACTTACACTTAGGATTTAGGGCTCAATTTCTGGTTGGTTGTTTACAAGTTTGCTTTCCTTCTTTCATGGTAAATTTGTCATATTCCAAAGACCTTGCATTAGTATGTTTCAAAATCTCATGGTAGTTCATTTTATTGACTGTGCATGCTACGTGCAGACTAAACTTGACTATTGTGTGGCTAAGTGCAACTACAATACTGACTACTAATGACTATGCCAGACTGTGAATTTAACTAAACTGGACTACAGCTTGACTACAGTTAGACTATGCCAGACTGTGATTACATTGATTGGTGAGATTATTTGACTCTAGTAGACTAGGTTGGACTATTCTGACATATTTTAGTCCTCAAAATACATGTTTCTTGCAGATCGGACTAATCCCGGACTATATATGACTACAGGCGACTATTCCTGAATAATGCTTTTTACTGAGCGTGACCTGTGACCTGTGACGGGGAAACAAATTCATTCCGGTGCCACATTGCAACAAATATTCATTCGCTGTTGTCAGTTCTGTCCAAGTGTTCCATTCATCGAGGTGCTTATACGATATCTCACCTCTAGTTGGCTGATGAACTCAGCCTCGACTAGTTTTTGTCGACAGCTTGGCACAAACGAGGATACGATTCCACATCTAAGTCAGGTTTTGCTCCCGATCGCTCGGTTCTTCCTTTCAGAGACTGGTTTGTACTGTAGTCATTCTGTACAATTCCTGTGATGCAGGCAATCAAATGTGGGCAACACTCATTTTTACCTTCGTAGCTTGAATACTGACTTGGTGTTGCTCCAGGTGTTGTTGTTGGTGACGGTGCCGTTGGCAAGGTGATTTAGTTGAAACATCATACAGCGGTCTGCTGGTTTCTGACTTGCATCACCAGACCTGTCTATTGATTTCCTATACGACGAATGCGTTCCCGGTAAGGCAACCTCTATGTTCGATATATTATCCATTTATGCTTCATCCATTATAGGGAGAGTACATTCCAACTGGTGTGTAGTCGAAGATCACAATATAGAATACGATTGCACTCAGATTGAATTATATTCCAGTGTTTGATAACTACTCTGCCAATGTGATGGTTGATGGAAAAACTATTTCTCTCGGACTATGGGACACCGCTGGTCAAGAGGACTATGATCGGCTTCGTCCCCTTTCATACCCTCAAACGGATGTATTCTTGATTTGTTTCTCTTTGGTCAGCCCTCCGAGTTATGAGAACGTTAGGACCAAGGTAAATTCTGCAAATCTACTTAACAATTGACGGGATTGGTCATTGATTATCGCATCTTTAGTGGTGGCCCGAGATATCACATCATGCTCCTTCTACATCAGTGGTGCTTGTTGGAACGAAATTAGACCTTCGTGAAGATCCTGCTACGATTGAGAAGCTTCGTGATCGGTATGTGTATCATGTACTTCTTGTGACATTGGGTCCCAGACTTTATATAGGCGCATGCAACCAATTCAATACTCGCAAGGCGTCACAATGGCTAAAGATGTCGGAGCTGTGAAGTATCTTGAATGCTCAGCGCTTACGCAGAAGGGACTGAAAACTGTATTTGATGAAGCCATCAGGGCGGTTTGTGAGTCCTTTTTCTGATAGTCTAGAAGACATACCTAATTGTCTTATTTTAGTAAATCCTCCCCCAAAGAAAGAGAAGCGGGGTGGTGGTAAATGTATAATCGCGTGACATGCGATCGTACTTTAGTGAATTTGACAGTAACACTGCCGCAGGTAGAATTTCTTCTCGTCCTATGTCCATTGAAATATGTGGTATCTCATTTCACCGTCAAGTTTAAAATTTACTGCAAGGAAACCAGGTTTACTATATAATAATCCGCAGAGATTGCTAAACCAAACAGTGATATGTCGGAAAAATCAAATTTACTAGAAAAAGCGAGGGAAAATATGACTGCTTGTGGCACATTTATGGTAAAGCGCTTTAGGCGAAGTCATCACAAACAGAAAAAGCATAACAATAACATGGCCCTCCAGGGCAATCTGGACCCGGTTGTTTTGTGTTTCGGTCCCCTTGGTGAGTTACCGTAGCATTAGCATTCATTTCTATGAATTACCAAACGGCGAGGTAAAGTTTTTCAGCACCAACTCACTTGAAGTACTGTTTTGCAGGTATCTATGAGAATGGACATTGTTTGATCATTGTCGTTTGCCCCATTTCTGCTGCACTTAGGTGTAGGTGCTCCACAAATTGTATGTCAGGATCTGGCTCTGTCTGAACAAGAAAGAAGAGGCACAATTGAGTCATACAAATTGCTTACAAATGAGAGGGCAGATCAGTGGGGTAACCAACATAGGTAATGATGGATAGAAGTGTACAGTCAGCCACTGTATATAGTATACAGCATGCCAGCCACAAGCATTCACAGCTGTGCTTGAAACCTGACATAATCACAAGTCAGGTGCAACAACAATAATATACATCATACAGTGTAATATGGCTATTTGACAATACTTATAGTATGCTCAGCTGATAGTCTCCAACAACCATCCTGAAGGGCCTTGTATGGTACACATGTACTGTATCATAATATGAATATGGTGGATAGCAGCCATTACATATATGTGTTGTATGGTTCCTTGGAACTATATAGGACAGGATGGTCACCAACAACCATCCTCAAGTCATATAGAATGGTACATATGAACTGTATCATAATATGGTGGATTGAAACCATTACATACATGGGTTGTATGGTTATATGGAACTATATAAGACAGGATGGTTGCCACCGACATCAGGAAAAACCATATAGCTAGGCAGGTTGCTATACCAGCTATAGGAGTCAGTATTGAGCCTTATGTGTATTATGATAGTAGGTAATCCGATGGGGACATGGATCAAATGCACCTAAAATTTACCCACATAATCTGGTAAGGATACAAACCAAATCAATTATTTATTGAAGCTTTAATCAATGTTGTGACAGTAGGTAATCAAATGAGGGCATAGATTAAATATGCTTCTACCACATAGTCTGATATGGATAATGGTACAAACCAGACCAATTATTTAGTAGAAACCTATCACAAACATCCAAAACATTACTAGACTCCCAATTGTCACGTATCATATCCTTTCCAAATATAAGAATAAGCTGACATCCTTGTCATAAACTGGTGAGAGGAACTATAGTGTCTACTGGTCTACTATCTGACCTTCTGCTTGGCTTTGAAACCATATACATCATATGACTTGGTTCGGCTGTAGGCTTAAATTTAAGATATCATTCAATATAAGCCAGAGGGACTTTTGGCCAAGCATTGGGAGCTGTAAATGCTCTAGCATGAATATGAGTAGGAAGTTTGAATATGACTTTTAATCTTCCAAATCTAGTTCCCGATACATGAAAATTATGAGACACATAGAACTAGATCAAGATATAGTATACTCACCTGAAACACCAGTTGATTCTGCACTCAAAGACTCCAATACTAATACAGTGTCAAACTGAGCTTTGACAGTATTGTTACCAGTGGCTCTAATCACAATCACCTACTTCAACAAGGGTGAGCTTAAGGTTATAAAAAATGTCTAGTGCATTAAAAGGTAGGGAGGATAATGAGATTTGATTTCTGAATAGATGGCTGAAATGCCCTTTTTGATGTTGATTGAGGAATTCTTTCAAATCATGTTCAAAGCCTGGGCACTTATGTTTTTGTTGAATTGACTGAAGTGGCTGAACAGGATAAGATGGTAATTTTGTCAATTGAATGCCTAACCCAGAGCATGATATTGGTAGGTGGGGTAGACAATAGTAGAGATTTTTGATAGCTTTCAAAAGACACCACTTTTTCTTGTCTTGTGAGCCATGCAATTATTTGAAGATACTTATTCCTATAATTAGATGCTCTCCAAGCATCTTTGGCCATGTCAATATGAAAATGTTCAAACATCTCAGTATTGTAGTTGTCAGTGGTCCCAAACCACCTACATCAGGAAAACATGATTTAGATATAAATACAATAAATTGCTATAATAGCAAAAATATCTCTTATATCCATAAGTGTGATTCTTCCACAGTCCCTTACTCCAAACTGCATAAATATCATATTTAATGATATTTATGCAATTTAGAGTATTGCTATATCATCAAAAGTGGTTTATAGCACAGTCATTAAAACAAAAATGACCTTGCACTTTTTCACTATAGTTTACTATAATTTACTCTAATTGCAATTACAATGATCTATACTCAATTATATCCAAAAAAAAGCATTAATAAAGCAAATTATATTGATTCTAAATGTTTAAAATGCTGCAGCACTATTGTAATATTTGTAATTATGATTTGGATGCTTTTGCTGCTTCCTCTAAAGCATCAAAACCAAACATAAGCTCAGATACATCAGATTGCCCCACTGTTATACAACCATTCCTACAAAAATACTTGAGGTTAAAAAAAGGTTTGAATGATGATGAATTTGTAGTAAGCTCTTACCAAATGTATTCATCAATATCATCAAATACAGCTGCCAAGTATGTAGGAGAACATTTCTGAACTATTTCCAACAACCTCATATGATGATCCCACCTTGTAAAAGTATAATTAGTATAGATTTATTGTGATTAAGGTGATGTACCTAGCAGAAAATGCTGTCGCTGAGAATGCTATTGTAGTGTTGTTAATAACACCTAGTAGAGCATATTCAATCTGGTAAATAAACTTGATCATCAGTTTTATTTAAAGAAGGGTATGAACACTTACAGAGCATGCTACTAGAGTCAAAGTAGGGAGATTGTGTAGATAAGGGTTATTAATTCTAGGCATTGAAGTCCTCCAAAAAAAACAAGCAAAAATGTCCAAACCTGAATGTGTCTTCAGCAGAATGGTAATTCAGAATAAATAAGCAATAACAAACCACACTGGGACCCACAAAATGACACATTACCTCTGTTCCCTCTATCCCTTCCTTAACCTATAAGTCAAAACAAGCAACCCAAATAAACTGATATTAAGTTTTAAGCTACATCTACTTAAAGAATGCATTCCCCTCCCAACCATTCCTATTTTCTACCCAATTCCTGAACTGACCATTTGTGTTACGATACACAATTTTTGGACCTTTAATTTTCATTCTCCTCTTCAACTTTCTTTTGTAGTTTTCACACACTGTGCCATGCGGCACTTTCCATCTTTGTTCAAACTCCACCTTCTCGCGCTGTGCTGCATTTTCCTTATTTTTAGCTACAAGTCTCTCACGCAGTGGAGCTGGTCACATGGGCTATGCCTATGACATCATCAACCACTGCCTCCATCAACTGTATAGTACATATATACAAACAATGCTGTAGTAGTATATAAACCTCAATAGATCCAGGAGACTCCTCAGTGAGTCCTCCTGTTGTTTACCCACAACTAACTCGGTCACATCTTAAGGGGTAACCACTCCCTCTCATTACTCTTCTTGCTTGTCTGAGTTGTGCGCCAGAGTAACTAACTCTTGGTTGTTACAATCTGTGTGTAAGACAAATGAGGCTCTCTTACCCTGATAATCTAAATTAAAGTGCGTTGACTCCTTAGATCTGAAAATAGCAAAGTCCCCACTCTTCAGTTCAAGAACAAGTCCTTGCTTATGCAACACAAGAGCACCCTCTGTAAACTCTTCCAGTGGAAGAACAAGACAAAAGATGTGATCCTTACCATCCATATGAGCGGTGGTGCTCACATTAATATTAACAACAAGAGATAAAAAAGGGGTGACCGGAGACCCTGGTTTTCCAGGGAGCGTATCAACTACCTCAGCTAGCATAGAGTATTCTTCTGGTAGGCAGAATTCCATCTAGGAAACACATACATCAGAAAAATTTAGGCATGAAACAAATAGCAGAAATCTTACAACATCAGAAATCCATTGGAAAATATCTGCAAAAGCATCCTGCAAGTTCAAATAAAGCTGCTCATTGTCTGAGTCCTAATTCATATGGGTGCACATCAATAGGTGCCCCATAACCCTTGATTTATGTCTTCATGTGAGTGATATATAGAGAGAGAGGGGGGAAACATACCTGAGTCCCATATCTGTTCCACCAGGAGAAGTGGAGACATTTGAAAGGTTTGTCACTACCCGGGACACTGGAGAATACTGGCAACCCATCAAAGCTAGCCTTGAGGTGGGCCACTAGAGTTGTCTTCATATGCCTAGGCATTGAATAGCATATGAACACCATCAATGTGTCGTCATCATTTTGTATATTGATTGCTGGAGGAATAGATGACATGGGAATGTGTATATAAACTCCATCCCTTTTGCATCCATTAGGATAAAATGTAGATAGCAGTATATCAAGTATCGGATGAGGGGGGAGGATGAGGGGGGAACACAGGAAAGTGACTGGAACTTACCTTGGCAGGAAAATCTTGCAAATCTGTGATGGCAGGGGCATTGCATGCTAAGACACGCTTAGATATTGTCCATCAATTGTTTTCTGAGCAGTTATGGCTGGCTGGAAATGCAATGTTGCATTCTGCAAGGCACTGAAACTTTGTCTTGATCCTGCAAGGGGTTGGGATTGTGTCCATTGCATCATCCATTGCATCCACTGCACATGTAAAAGGTGTCTGGGTGGCCCAAAGAGAGAGCAGTTCTTCCATGCACAATGTGAGTGTTTGGGTAAGTGAAACATACTACAACATAGATAGATATTAACAGGAATATAAGTGAAATTGAAGACATACTTTAGTTCAACAGAATTAAACAGCCTGTCCGCGACTTTGAGAGACGTACAATTGAAGATTTTTTTGAGGAAAAGACCTGGGAAGGTGATTAGGAGGGACTGGCATAGGCACATGATGGTGGGGATAATCCAAGCATGAACAAGAGCACCAACACCTTATAAAAAGTGAGTAGCTGCTTGTTGGGGATGTGAGAGGGGTGAGGAGGAGGACAGAGCGACTTACCATCTGTTCCAGGGTCCATCAGCACCTTCACAACCTCCCATGGCACGCTACTCTCTAGACAGGCTAGAATAATCTTAACATCTTGGTAGCATAGCAAAACTTCGGAGATTTTACATGTGTCTTGCATTTTGAGACTTTTTGCTGAGACATTCTCTGGCGCTGTGTGACACAATGTGGCCCTACCCGCTGCATGTTGTGGACAACATTCTCACGCCCATTTTACAACCTTGCTGCAGTACTATTTCTGCAAAGTTTGAGCATAGTTCTGGAGCTCTGGTCCTGGTCTATACAATGATTAACTATTCCTGATGGTATTGTTAAAGGAATGGGACCAGAAATATGAACCTATTAATGGTTATCAGAGATAGAAGTGACTGATATATCTTACTCACTCAGAAAACTGCAGACACCCCTCAACCCCTTCACGCTGACTTGCACACATTACTAACATTCTACTTGACAGATTTCTCTCTGTTTTCCAATGCAATTACTTGATGAATCCAGACATGTGCATGACACCCTATTCTGCATGTGGGAAAATTTTACTTACCCAATTTGTAGTTGGGACATGGCCATCGTAACACTGGACTTCCAGCCAATTCCCAAGCTTCACAAATCAATCTGAGCTACAGATACAGGGTAAGCCTCTCATTTTTCACTAGGAGGTTACTAGTTGATTGAAGGAAAAATAGTTGTTATCATTTGTATGGCCATATGGCCACATAATCTGAATAAAATTGCAACTCACAAGGCGATGGATATTGAAATACACAAAGAGCGAAGTGTGCATAGCTATTCCGACTTACAAGTCATGGATTTTAACCACATATTCAAGTTGCCACCTATGCCACTCTGGGCCAATTCAAATGTGATCTATAAATTCATTGATTGTCACAAAAAAAAAAGGTCAATATTACGACTTGAAGGATTACCTTTACGTGTTCCTTTCTGAGCAGCTCCAGAAACCCCACGAGATCCCAGATGTATCCTACCTTTTGAAACAATGCATAGAAGATGGCCAATTTCTTGAGGTGTTTGCCAGCGAGCTAGATTCTCATGCTATTGATACTGCAACATGGCATGCTCACGCTCACGCTCAGTCAAAGATGCCACAGCCAACTGACTCACCATCCCAGACCATGCAAGAATGGATCCTTGCCCAAGATACCAGGCTTTCTGACAGCCTGTTGAAGGAGACTGTGGTGTCCATTGTGGAAGAACTTTGCAATTTTTTGGTTAACTCAATCTTTCTTGATTTTGATATCTTATCAGTTTGTACATATTTTTTTTCAACTACAGCATGCTTACAAATCATCACTTTTTTTTTGTTTCAGGCACCTGAAATATTTTCAGCACTTACTTCGAACACTGCTCATGGCTTGGGATCAAGTTGCGACCTTACGCTGGCCCGAAGACTAAATTCTTTGGTTTTCTCACGTTCCGTGTGACACCTTAGAATGCGAACTTTTGCCCGACATCGTATGACTAGATCTGACTCCACATGACTAAAGCTTAACTTTTTGTTTTCACTGAGTGACATGGCATATGACCTTGCAAGTAAAGTGACTTAGGCTGGCAGACATGTGTAGGTCGAGATCAATGTGAAAACAGGCAAAGACATTTATGCCATAGCTTAAAATTGGTCAGGATTTAACATCTTGTTACACTACACAACACCTGAACCCCGCCGGCAGTTTAGTTCAAGCAATGTATGTGCTAGCGGAAACATTGCCTCCGCGACCAGTCCAATTAATATCTATGTTGGTGGAATATGAGTGTATGAGGCATTGGGGGGCCCGAATTACGTACGGATATCTTGATCTTTCTTCAGTTTCGCAGTCTCCTTCTCCGGAAGTACTCGGAAAGTATGTGCACCGAAGTAATCACGCTAGAAACGTCACAGTTTATCTAGATAAAAGTGAACGAGATGTTACATACCTGGGCCTGGATGAGATTGGCAGGAACTATTTCACTCCTATAACCATCAAAGAATGCCAAGGCTGTGCTGAATGCGGGAGTTGGGATACCCCAAAGCACCGCTTGAGCAATAACTCGCCTCCAACCAGACTGGGCCTTGTGAACAGCTGGCCACAATGACCAGTAATATGAACAGTAGTACTATAAATGATCCATGTCGAGCTAACCTTTGTTGAAGAAATCATCGAAAAGCAGCGACTCCAAATTAGGTGTTTTTTGATAAGCCGCCGTGATGTCACCCAGGAAGACACTCTACAATGAAAATTGAGATGACATGGACGAAATGAATATGCTGCAAACCTTGATGATACATCCACCACGCCACATGCGAGCAATACCAGCATAATTTAGGGTCCATTTAAGCTGCATGCGTAAATCAGATAAACCGGGTATACAAAGATTAGACGATATCGGACCTCCTTGGCTGTCTCTCTCATCAACATAAATCCCTGAGCGTAGGAAATGATCTTAGACGCATATAGAGCTTGTTCAAGATCATCAATAAACTGTTTCTTGTCGCCTCGGAATGGCTCTTTTTGAGGACCAGCGATCACCCTGGATGCACGGGTGCGCTCCTCCTTGATAGCTGACAAGCATCGGGCAAATACTGCTTCGCCGATCAAGGTGACTACGAGGAAATATAATGATTCGGTGATCTGCCAGAAATAATCCTAGTGATCACCTACCTGCGGTGCCCGCATCAAGAGCGGCTATGGCTGTCCACTTTCCTGTACCTTTCTGGCCTGCCTGGTCAAGTATCTTGTCAACAAGTGGCTCTCCATCATCGTCTTTAAATTTGAGTATATTGGCAGTGATATCGATCAGGAAGGAATCGAGAACCCCATTGTTCCACTGCAAGAAGATGTCTGCAATTTCCTCTGCACGAAGACCGAGGCCACGTTTAAGAATATCGTAAGCTTCAGCAATAAGCTGCATGTCACCGTATTCGATCCCTATTACGGTGGGATCAGTAAAAAGTAAACCACAAGTCAATAACATACCGTTATGAACCATTTTCACGTAATGGCCTGCTCCGGTCTCGCCGACCCAATCACAACAAGGTTCGCCATTGACTTGCGCAGCTGTTGATTGGAAAATTTCTTTGATAGCAGGCCAGGCAGCAGGAGAGCCTCCGGGCATCAGAGAAGGTCCATGGCGGGCGCCCTCTTCACCACCAGAAACACCAGAACCCACGAAAAGTAATCCTTTGCTTTCCAATTCCTTAGTTCTACGGATGGAGTCGGGGTAGTAGGAGTTACCCCCGTCAATGATTATATCACCATGTTCAAGGTATGGCTGCAGTTGATGCATAAAACTGTCCACGGCAGGCCCGGCCTTGACGAGTAGAATAATCTTTCGGGGCTTTCTGAGTTTGGATACAAGCTCTTCTATAGAGTGCGCGCCTTGAACTTTGGTCCCTTAGGCGGGGCATTAATACAATATGGTGAGCATTTCATTAAACGGAGCTACCTTTCGCCTCGTTGGCAAGAAAGTCGTCTACCTTACTTGTTGTACGATTGTATGCGATTACATTGAAACCCTTGTCATTCATGTTAAGAATCAAGTTTTGGCCCTATCAAAAATTGTCAAGCGCTAATGACCAGCTTTATAGATGGACTCATACCATGACGGCGAGACCAATGAGTCCAATATCGCCACTGCGCCAAAAGCTGATTAGCGAATAAATATGATTTGAGATTTTTGAATCCATACGTTGGGTTTGCCATATCGTTGGATAAGGATGGGTGTGTTGGAGGGAAAAAGAGGTACCTTGACTGTATGGCAGATACGTTTGGTTGAAATAGATACCTATCGGCGCGTGAGAGATTATGTCATATCGATAGGCCAATTGCGTGCGAAATTTCCGCCGAAGGCGGGCCGGCAACGCCACCTGTGACTTCCCTGCTATAGTGCACTGTGAGACCAAGAACTAGTGTAGTGGTTATCACCTTGGGCAAAACCCATTTTTAGTAGGGAGAAATTCGCGGGGTCTTCAAGTGGAAATAAATACCATGATTAACACTACTTCTTTAGGTATTTTCCCACTACAGTTCACCAGTCAAAAATACACTGATTTTAGGCATGTTCAAAGCATGTTCAAATACACATTGATATTGCCTATGTAAGCTATTGAGTATCTACTACTAATCTGATAACACATACCTCATTATTGTTGTTCAGAAGATGAGGTACAAATGAATATAAACATGACCTTGATAGACATGTCTGATTATATCGATTGCACCAGAGTATACAAACTTTGGGTATTGTCACACTAGAACATGCTCTCTTATCACTCTCCTGTATACTGTGTGCAGCCAGACATCAGCATTAAGAGGAACAATTTGAAAAGCTTTTTTGTCATACATCAACCATTGAGCTTAGAGCCATGTAATAAATACTTAAGTCTGTTCCTGCAGAGTAAGGCAAGTGATAAAACTGGATAAAACTGGTCTCAGCTAAAGCTGCCAAGCAGCCCTTGTTCTTTTAGGAGCACAATTATACTCCTAGGAGTCATTGTACCTTAGCAAGTGGAACCTCCAACTATAAGTAGTAAAGGGACTTAGTATAGGAATACCTCATTCATTCATTTCTATAGCCTCTTGGGCAGTGGCTGAGGTATGTTACATTACATTCTATAGAGATTACCTTAAACCTGACATCTATTGTAAAAAATAAAATAAAATAAAAATCCTATACATTTTGACATTTGTTTTTTTTTAGTAAGCAAAAAACATACATTGGCCAGGGCTTGAACCTGGGACTCTAGCATTCATGGTCTGGTGCTCTTACCAATTAAGCCACCAAGGTGTACTTGGAAAGCATACTGATTGGTTGCATACAAATCCCATTGTGTGTTGTGATAGTAAGCTCCTGCTCAAGGGAACTAAAATCAAACAAACAATTTTTTATGTAGACCCCAGTGGTAAAGGGAGCATATAGCAGCAGCAGTTAGCATGGAACTACTGTTGATTACATAGTTTTGTTTTTCTCTGACTGTTGAAGATACATTAGGGAAATGTGATTTTGCTATAGTCAGATATAATTAGAATTTTTACCAATTATAGCAACTATAACTAAAGGTGCATTATATCAACAACCTATATTGATTTATAGTGATTATGACATGTAATAATAAATGGTATTTTATCTACTACTAATATTACCAGATTGTTTGGTATGCAAAATTGCTAGTTCAATTGTCAAGTAAAAATATGGAATATATGTCTAGTACATTTTTTGTATGCCAAGTTTTTGGCCATTCCACTCCAGGTCCAGTAATAGGAATAAGTTGGGAGTTTTGGTGTATAGTGCCCAATGGAACAATATCACCAGGTGTAACCTTATTTGATTGAAGAACTGGCTTTGTTAGCACATACATATTATGATTTTGTTCAAGGTTTCTGGACATCAGTGAGGATATAATCCTTAACCTCTCAACCTTCATGATTATAATAATATAGTGAGCAATAAAACATTAAATTAATAAAAATGTGTGATGCACCTTGTAAACTTGTTATCTCAGTATTTTCAGTGTTTGCTACTATGACAGTATCAAATTTCCCCTTCTCTCATGCCTTACCAGGCTTGGCCTTTATAGTATCCAAGCTTTTGCTATTATCTACATCATTTCCCAAACTACGAAGTATAAACTTGAGTGAATGCCAAACATCCATTCTATCAAAGAAAAGCTGAGAAAATGAAGTTAAGACCTAGGAATAGTGTTTCCTTTGCCTATAAATTGATTGAGAAAGGTGCATAAGTGATATGAGAATTAATGAACAGCTGTGGTTTATTTAAGTAATGTTGAGTGGTTGGGCATGTCAACAAGGACAATTTGCCAGAAAATAGGATAATTGTAAGATTCTATATCTTTTTGTGTTTCTTGCTCCTTATCCTCCTCTCTTTTGTAATTGTTTAGATAGTTTCAAACATGGCAATTCTTCTTATCTGCTAAACCATTGCATTATTTGAAGGACTTTGTCATGGAAATTTGATGCCCTCCAGCATTTTTTTTACAATGTCCATATGGAACCTTTCAAATATTTTTGTATTATAGTTGTCTGTGGTGCCAAAATAACAAATGTATTCTGCATAATGTCTGCATAATGTAGCATAAAATGAAATTGTGGAATGTTGAGGTGTTCCACCCCAGTAAAATCCTTGCCATATTTTTTCTCTCCATCCCAGATATTTGGGATAGTTGTGACCATCCATGTTTGAAGTGTTGTACACCAAAGCATGGGGGAAGTTTGCATACATGATCATCAAGCTTTTTATCAATTATGAAGCTGGAACACCAATAGATTAAGTGTTTTACAACACCCTGATAGAGTTGATAGAGCACATCAGGAGTTATAGCCATGTGGATATCACATGACAAACACCTCCAGTTACATTATGAGCCTTGCATCTCTCCTGAAATTGGTGGTAGACATTACAGTAGCTTTGGCTTTTATCATAATTTCTGCAGTCTTCCTCTGGTTCCTCCATCTTCCTGGATGTCTTTCTCCCATGGTATGTTCAGAGGCCTGACATTTAGGACAGGTTCCATATTTTGTACAAGTGATGAGGCATTGTTTGTTCCGATCTATGACTTTGTCAACAACATAAATAGGGATGTTGCTCCTATCTTAGGAGAAGAGCTACTGCCTCATGGCACCAAAGAGATCCTAGTTATGTGCATCATGTCACGTGATAGAATTACATACAGAGTGCCCAACAAAGGAAGTCCTGACGTGAGAAAGAGCCTCATTCTTGGCCGACTGCCAACTACCAAGCCATGAAATTGTCCATATCCGGTACTGATGTATTGCTTCGTATCCTTGACATGCATACCCATGACTTGGAGCTTTTACTTCAACTGCTCAACAACAGCCCAAACCTACCACCAAACCTTGTGAATTTCCGCTTAAACTTATCTGTACTGATCACTTATGGATCATCATTGTGTTCTGTGCTATCCGTGGGTCAAGGTGAACACACCAACAATTCTATCCCTCAACAGGAACTTTTTCCTGAGTGGCAAGCCAGAATACTACTTATTCAAGCAGTGTGGACAATTTGAATGCGACAAATCTATGGGATGAGCTCCTGCCCTGGCAGTATTCACCACAGAACTTGATCTGGAACCACTCTCTTCCTGCTACAATCAATGCACCTATTGATGTCTCCCTTTCCACACCTCATTCTTCCATATCCTTGCTTCCATCACCTCTCATTGCTACCTCTTCACAATGTCCCATTTCTGACTTCTGTTACGATAACACATTTTTGGACCTTTAATTTTCATTCTCCTCTTTAACATTTTACTGTAGTTTTCTCACATTGTGCCATGCGGCACTTTCCCTTTTGTTCAAACTCCTCTTTCTCACGCTGCACTACCTTTCTTTTTATTTTAGCTACAAGTCTCTCACGCAGTGGAGCTGGTCACACGGGCTAGGCCCCATGACATCATCAGCCACTGCCTCTATCAACTGTACAGTACACATGTACAAACAAATTTGTAGTAGCATATATAGACCAATAGATCAAGGAGACTCCTCAGCGAGTCCTCCTATTGTATCCTCACAACTAACTTGTTGAAGCCTGAAGGGTAACCACTCCCTCATCATCCTCTTTATAGTTGGTTCTAGTTGTGCGCCAGAGTAACAAACTCTTGGTTGTTACAACTTCTCACTTCCACAGGTTGATATAGGATCACCGCCTTCCCAGTGCGTACCAAGGACTCAGATGGCTACTAGTCAACATGAGATAGATAAAGCAAAGTCAAATGCTACAGCACCAGTATCAGCATCCGTGCCACCATTGCTTGAAAAAAAAAAAAATTATCACTGCAAAACTGGGGGAGAATCCTATGACACTGACAAGTCCCAAGCTCAATTAATGTGTCCAAGGGGGGGTGTTGCATTTGCCCTACCACAGAGAGATGGCAGAAGTGTCTGGAGAAGACAGACAACTGCTTGGCTCAAATTTAACAACAATATTAATGCCATTGTTGCAGCTCTGGCATCTGCACACTGGGACTCGGACATTCATAACCCCAGTGTTTGGATTGATAGTGTAAAATCAGCAATGGAGGGGAATGGATATGTAGATGAGAGCTTGGGGTCAGTGGTGCAGAGATGCAGAGGTATCAGCAGCAAGGATATTTGCGTCAATTTTCTGTTGATGGTAAATTACATGCAATTGGTGACAAAGTGCCAGAGGTGAGGGCCCTTGTTATTCTTATTCCACTAACATCTGATTTACCAACTCTTTTCTAGCATCAAATTGCATACCCAACAATCTCTCAATGCTATCTACAATACAGAAGTTGCACATCTCCCAGGAAAACCTAGCAAATGAACCTTTCAAGATTGGCATTCAATTGACAGTAAATTTGCTGCAATTGCTGGAGGGGGGTCAGTCTATATACTGATCCTGGTTGCAGGACTTGGTCTTAGGGTATCTATTGGTCGAATGGAGGGCTTCTTGCCTTGGGACTTGGCTAACCTCCTATAATCTCCTATCCTTGGTAAGTATGATTTGTGACAATAAAAAATGGTTGAATAACTTGTCAGTCAGGATCTGTGGAGGGTGATTTAATCATAAATTGCATTATACCAACTATCAGTTGCATGCATCATCTGTTCCCAATTAGTATGGCATCAATGTTCTCCCCATTAACACTTTCAGAGCACCAAGTTTTTGGCAAGTTTGATTGCACTGATATTGTAACAACCAAGAGTTATTTACTCTGGCGCACACAGGAACACACTATAAAGAAGATGATGGGGAGTGGTTACCCCTTAGGCTGCAGTGAGTCAGTTGTGCTAGACAACAGGAGGACTCGCTGAGTCCTTCTCCATGTATTGCTCTTGTATATATACTAAAATACATGAGGTACTGTACAGTTGTAAATAAAGTTCAAAGTCCGATGTCTTAGCATGTGACCGGTCACATGATGAGTCTAGACACTGGTCAGGTGATATGTCATATAACTGGTCATGTGACTATCAAAAGTTGAAAATGTAAAGTAAAGTAAATGGTCACATGACTGGTCATGTGACTTGGAAAATAAAAGTAGAAGTACAAAAGTGAAGCGTAAGTAGGTGCTGGTATGTCAATTGTAACAGATATTGCATCTTCTGATAGATTTTTTCACTCTGTTGTCTTCAAGTGAGCATCACTCATTCATCACTATATTCCGTCAGCTTGGCTATGAGCTGCTTGCTCCAATATTGTCTTTCCTGCCCAGACTATATAGCTTACCTCTATCAGACTCACAAGACTTTTTGGCTTTTTTGGATGCGGAAGATAACCCAGTCCCACCCCCCGCTATCCAGCCAAAAGGTATAGGGATAGAGAAGACAATCATATGCACTACTTATGACCGATTTCTGCCTCGAAAAAAGTGTTTTTGAGCTAAGCGTGATTGTTAAGCTAATAATATATGGACAGAGCACAAATGTGAGCATGCAAAAAAGGGTGCCCAAGTTAGAAATATAAAAGATTTGCAGGCACAGGTAATAAATCTAAGTGAAACTCAGCCGCTGCCTAAAAGGCTATAGAAACGACTTTATTATTTACCTAAGTGAAACTACAATAGATGTTAGTTTAAGGTGATTACTAGTAAATGTAATGTAACATACCTCAGCCGCTGCCTAAGAGGCTATAGAAATGACTGAGGTATTCCTATACTAAACCCCCTACTACTTATAGTCGGAGGTGCTACTTGCTACAGTATAATGACTCCTAGGAGAACAATGATGACTCCATGAAGCAGCCATTATGCTCCATGGAGAACAATGGCTGCTTTAGCAGAGACCGGGTTTATCTGGTTTTGTCAACAGGTATGTAATTAGGTTTCTACACCATTGCCCCCTTATTGTTTATTTGCATTGCCAGCTCAATATGCACTACAAGGAAGGAATGAAGGTATCAGATGACTACATTTGCATCCCTATGGATGCTATTCCCAAGTAAGTTTTCCATAAATTTCTAATCACCAATTGCTCACTCATTTATCTGAAGTTCCTTGTTGGATATACGGAATTTGGATCAGACACTCATGGCATTCATATGCATCAGTGCTTAACCAAAGCCAGCTGACAAGTTTGTTCCAGGATTATTGCTACTATCTTCAGCGGAAACCCATTGGATTGCAATCAGTAATTGTCCGTTTCTGTCCCAAAGGGACCGGATGCATTCACATCCACTTTCTTAAGGAGTATGGGGAGGAGTCATTCCCGGTAAATATTGAGGGCCACCATTGTGGGGGTAAGTGGTGTCCTATCAAATGTATACTGGATCTCTGGCCCACCTAACAAGATGATGAGAGTGTGATACTCTTCTCTTGTCAACTTGTCAACAATGACAGGTTTTCAAATTTGTTCTCGGTCGCATTGTCCAGTCACTATGGTGTCAAAGGTCATATAATCGTCTCCTACAACGGTTCTGACTCTGGGGACGGGATTTGGAACTGTATGAAGGACCACAACAATTGTTGTAATCACATCACCAAAGCAAGACACCACTTGCGCAAGCTGGTGACCTCGAACCCAAGTGCTCAAGACAATCAAGGCAAGAATTTGGATCCAAATGATGTCCTGCAGGTCTCAGGTATGCATATTAAGGATTTTCTGGGTTACTTTTGAAGCAAATGTGTTTACCACTACCTGCGTGTGCCCTACAAGGTCTTATGGTTCTTTTTCAATCTCTTATCTTCCAGTGCTTCCTCCATCATGGGGGATCCTCCCATCCAATCTACAAGTAATTTCCCACCCACTCCCACTCCAAAAGACCCCAGACCTGCTCAAGTTAAATAACACAGCAGCATGTATCTGTCGTCAAGGTGGGTATTCCCCATTTTGTACAAAAGAGCAAAGGGTCTGCACAATATATACCCTAACAGGAGGCTACACAGCCTCAATTGAAGTACAGTTATGCCTGCCGTGCTCTCCACTACATCAAAGGTTCATCAGGCTCAACCTACACAAAATGGGCATATGTAATCTCAACAACCGCCTTCTCTTTACTCACAATCTCCTAGATGAATATACTTGTGCTTATACATTATCCGAGACTCCCTTTGTGGCCTTTGTTTCTACACTATCACAGCGGTATCAAAATCATCATTCTAAGGTCCAATTTATATCTGAAGATGCATTCAGAACAGTTTGGTTCTCTTATGTGAGGCTTTCAAGCTACGAGGGGGATATGAAGTATCCAAATGCGGACCCCTACCCCAAGAAACTATCTGGGATGGCACCTCCTACCTTCACTACATCCACCAACCACATTCCATGATATGTCATCTACAAGGGAACATGTGCATTACAAATACAGTCAACAGGCCCTGCAAGACACAAAACTGCATAAAAATATTCACAATCTTACTTTGCGAGCATTGTTGGTTCGTACTCCAGAGACTGAGGATGACAATACTAGACAAGACCCTACTGGCCCGGATTACCTGACAGAAGATAGCCACGAGGTGTCATCTGATCATGCACCAGATAGTCTTTTAGACCATCTGGAGGCTGCTTCTGATGTTGAACATCATTTACAGCTCATCAATCCAAGCATTCAACTTCTCTTCTCAACACATTACAGTACCATACAGTCCAAGCCTAGACCACCAAAAGCATATCATAGTCTCTTTGTCCAGGTGAGTAAAACAGCTTGTCACAAAATTTATGTTTAACATTGGTATCAGTTGGTGGCCGATGAATCAATCCTTCAAACCATCAACTGAGCAGCACCTGTTGTTTTGTATGAGTTCCTTCAGCATCCCAACACTGTCACTGCATCCTCCTTGGTAGGCATACCGTGTCTTTTTGATGTCTTACAGTACTACAATCATCAAGTTGAGCAATACCCACCGGCACTAATAGGTCTGTGCATCTGGATGTACAAGTGAGTGCTGGATGTGCTACAATCACTCCAGGCTTATAGTGATCCACCACCCTGCGTTGAGGGCACTGACCAGTATCAGCTGGGAACTGGCAAAAGGTATGTATTGGCTAAATCATTCCTTATGCTCCTTACAGAAATAATCTATCTAGACTGGTTGCTACTATAGTATGCCACTTGTCCAGCACCATCCACACTATTCCCATCTCAAAAATGACCTGCGGAATGAACCTGATGGCCGCAGAGGCAAAAAATGCTCCAAATATTATGCTCAATACGGCAAACAAAGACTGACCAGTGGGATTATGTGTGTCTGGTGCACACACAGCATCTGTTACGGATTCCATTGCATCCCAAAAGGGGAGGGATGCAATGATGTGTTTTTAGCACTTCTTACAAGATAGCCCAAGGCACCAAGAGTAGTAGTTACAATTTTGCTTGTGCTCTGGGACCTTATTGTCTCACTCAAGAGCCCGACTTTTTTGCGGACACTCTTTTTGTGGTTGATGCTTTCCACGCCAAGGGACATCCTAAATGCTCCCCAGCAGCATTTTTGACCAGCTATGCCAGAACAGATCCTCAACTCGGTCACATAAATTCAATTGCAGCTAAATGTGGGGATAGTGCTATCAAGAGAATCCAGAAATCTGTTAGCTACATGTCCCAAGATCGTGCCATATTGTACACCAAAGTCTTCTTGTCCATATGGAACAGATTGAAAATTCATCATATGATAGGTACTGATATGTAAAATGCTTACAAATCACAAAAGTCTCTGAAGTACTATAAATTAAAGTAACATGCCAGCTCTACAGCCAACTATTACAAATGATAAAAGACCATATGGCTTGTGATGTGAGTAAACCATAACATCAACTCACAGAATAGTCCACATGGACTATAACACATCATATGGTATATTTCCACCATAGCACCTAGTGATGTAATGGTACCCACCAACCATATACCATGTTACGTGCTGCTGCAACCATCATGCTATTTCATGGAATGGTCCAGTGGATTATATCACACCATATGGTATATTGCAACCAAACCAAGCACTGCCATAATGGTACACCGGTACCATATTCATTAATATAGTTCAGATGAGCCATGCTATGATGACAGAATGAGCCTGGTTATGTGCTGTTAACAATTTGACATTATGTGAAGGAATTGTCCCTACAGACTATTTTGGCCCAAATGGTTCACCCCCACCATCTAAACTAAATGGTATCTCACAACTATATATTTTCATATGGTGAACACAAGCTATTTGTCACACTTGAATAGCTTGTCATGCTTGAGATGTTTCATTTGCACCATTTCGGCCACTGAACATGTTCCCACACAGTGCATTATGTAAGCAATTGCGGCGGGCTGTACAACCTATTTGGCTGTTAGGCTGTATACGTCTATTCCGCCGGTCCTGTGTCTGGTATCTGCTCCTAACCCAACTCAGAACGCGGTGATTACAACTGGCACTTATTATGAGGTACGTTGAGAGACCTGCAAGTGTGACTTGCAACAATCACACAGGACATCAATCGGTCGCATTGTCAAGTCCTCGTTGTAACGTTTTTACGTTCCACTAATGATATACAAGTTCAAGTAAAGTATCAATCCGTTGAGCTGCGAGGGATAACTGCCGAACAGCAAGGGGAAAACAACAGGAACCCATGACTTATTAGGTTTCATGGTTCTAAGCAAGCATGTGGCGAGTCGAGTTGTCCGAATGTTAGATCCCATTTATTGAACTTTTGCTTGACTTCGGCTATACTTTGCAAACTATTGGTCACCGAAGCTGCAATTAATCGAAAATAAACTTACCTGAGAAGGATATCGATGTTGTTCACCCCGTGCGACCGGGTAACCTTTGCCTCTGAAACTGTTTTAAGGAATCTTCTGCTGCTCTCCTCATGCGTCCTTCATCGTCTGCTATCTGTTCTGCCTCCCTTCTTTTCCTGACTTCTTCCTCTAGCATGGTCTCCGCCGTCCTCAGGGATGCTTTCGCTCTGGAACATTCTGCATGCGCTTCGGCTAGCTGATCCGACAGCCTGAGAGATACAGAGATGGCATCAGCAGACTGCCGCCGCAATCCCGCGACTTCTATATGCAAGCGATCGATGAGGTTATCCTCTGAGTTTGGTATGTCAGACGTAGGTCCACGAACGAAATGGTGATTCAACAAAGGTAACGGCGATTGTTGCATTCCAAAGGTGCTAATACCCGAAATCGAGGGGCGGTGCCTTGGTGGTATAACCATATCTTCTTCACTTTCATACTCGTCTGATAAATCAGTGCCACTATTTCGCTCGTAAGCCACTAAGATATCTTCATCTACGTCCTCAACATGGTCGCCTTGAGATCGTACTGACGATACCCGACACGGCGGCGGCGACGCAATTGGAAGGGCAGGGTGACTTGGAGGAGATGGATGGATTGTATATGTGCCTTTCCTGGGGCGTCCCCTTTTCTTTGGGGTATTGGAGCTCAAGCCGTCATCAATAATTTTGTTCGGCCTACCGCGCTTTCGTGGCCTCTTGGTCCCAGGAGGAGCCGACAGGTTAACTGTCCAGTATGAGCCAAAACCTGGATCAGTGACAGGTCGTGGTTGCCGTTCAAACAAACGATTGAGTGATAAATGGTGTCGAACAGATTGCTAAGATGAGTGGAACAACATCGATGAAGCTTTTAGTAATTAAAATAGATACAAGTTAGAAAAATACCTTCCAAGTTGGACCTGCAGTTTTATAGTATGTATACTTTCCTTCCATTGCAGCATATATTTCACGAATAGTCAGACGTTTTCGAGGACTTCCTAATATTGCGCATCGCAAAATAACTGGTAGGGTGTGTTGCGGTCTTCCGGCTGTGTCTGGAAGACACACCAAGGTGTCAGGACAATTGGGATGCAATTCATGCTGTTTATATAGCGGTTCGATTTGAGAGGAATGATTGAAAGCCGCAGTGGTATTTGCACTGATATCAGATGGAGTAGATGATGGACTACCACGAACTGGAAGTTCTCGAGATTGGGGTCTAAGTTATTGATAACAGAGAGGCGATGAAGTGACAATTTAGAACAGTTGAAGTGTATTTGAGTAAAAAGCCACAAACTTTGCCGATCTTTTGTGATTAATATCTGGGTTCAGGATATTTTGCAGACTTGACATGTCCAGTCTCTGAGCATGACAAGATGGGAAGAAGGAATGTGTGAAATTAGTGGTTCTTGTGGGTCCATGTTTTATGTAAGCAAACGCCGAGTCCGCTTACAGTCAAATAACATCGCCCTCCGGGCACCCCCACTTGTGATTCCCACGGGATGTCTCTAACTACACCGCTAAATTTGGCCTACGCTTAAGTCATGTTTGACGAAATATGACGGTCATATATAAGCTATAAGCCCAGTTAGCCGCTTGGTAAGGGATTTACCGAGGTTCAAAATCAAAGCTTAGTCTAATGTTGTGACACAGTCGTTTGTGTTAGCAAAAGATCCAAGGTCTGCCAGAGGTATTCTGGTGGTATCAGGGAGCTGCAGTAGCCGTCTGTATGATGTTTACAGCAATGGTTTTGCTATGGCTGACATAGTAGCATTTCTTGAATGTTTATTATAAATGATTCTTGGCCATCATACCGACCGTGCATAGACACCCATATAGAGGTTCACCTAAGTATAACTTGAGATTCTTTCTCAAAAGGCAATGTCATTGTTTTACCATTCAAGCATGTCTGAAGTTAGTGTCGAGGACATAATATACTGCAGGTTTGTCAAAACATTCATTCACAGCAAGTTATTTGTAACAAGGACACGGCGAGGACAGGAGAGAACAAAGAACTATATACCAGCAGAAATTACACGGCCATCAAAAATCAAGGCAACTGTGTCTTGGAATCTCTCCCAGATTGCACCCCTGGTTGATACATAGTCCACATTGTCATTGAATAACCTGATTTCCTCCTGAACAGCTGATGTGCACTTTGTCATCCAGCCCTCCAAGAAAGATCCTTCAGGAGAAATTTTCAGGCTCCAAATAGTCCATCGGCCATTAGGAAACTCGGGATACGCAGCAATGTACGCCATCCAGAAAACCTCTCGACCCCAAGTCCACTCCAGAGAGTGCCTGTCAACAACTTCTATCAGCAGCCAACGCTGAATCTTATTCATCAGTCCAATCCAACACTGTGCATTGTAAGGATTGAAGCTGGAGTGTAGAGGCAAGAATGAGAGGGGGATGTCCAGACCACTTTGTCCCTGCCAGAATATTAGCAATGTCAATATCAGGAAACAACAAACTGATGTGTACCCGTTGATTTTGGCAAAGAACTGACTGTAAGCTATTGGAGCCGTACATGAAGTCCAAAGGTCCTGACTTTATAACTGGAGTAATGCCAGCACAGTCTCTTGGGAGTGTGATTGTCACCTTCAACCGCTGATAAATATGATGATTATTATCAATGCAAAGCACAAGAGAATGGAGGGGGAAAAAAAAAAAACTCACCATTTCTGCAAAAAAAATCCTTGAATTTGGGACTGATCCTTCAAACAAAAGACTCATGTTCAATGGGTTTAAACCATTTCTGGTACCCCAGTCCCTACTAGCAACCTTGGGATATAAAACTGTTGATGCGACTGTAGCCATTGAGTTGGTGGAGGCAAAAGTATGAGGGTGGGAACCAGTTCAACACAACTGATGCGCGAGGACTTGGGGTGGCTGTGCTGATTGTGATCACTCTGAACAAGGCGGGCCTGAACCTCTATCAGTGTAAGGTCCAGAACCAGCAAAGTCCTTTCGTAACATTTCCTCAAACCCTCTGAGCTCCCAATCGAGGTACTGGCACATCTCTTGTTCCATCCATACCGCCAGGAACTTGTTACAGACACATCTCCTGGTCTCAATTGAAGTACAGACACATTTTCCGTCCCCTCTATACCACTAGGAAATTGTTCCCACATGCCCAAATCGGTGTATTTGGATGATCGAGGTTAGTTGCTTTTTATTTTATTATTGATACACCCAAGCATTTATTAAATTCCCTACTGTAGTCTACCGCTCCCTGGACAGAGATAAATGTGTCGCATGCCTTGCCTGCCCCAAGCAGAATGGGCTTTTCTTAACCATGAGGCGATGCCATTTGGCCGGTCACAATTCCAGCAAAAAGCATATACACCACGTTGCCAGACTTCACTCAGAGCCTGAATCTGTCCTGCATTGTCTATCCCGGGCCCCATCTCTCCCACCATCTCGGTCATCTCCAGCTCCCCAAACACCTCTACAAAATATATTCTGTCCTGATTCTGCCTCTCCTCGCCACCGCCATCTCTCACCATACAGTGAACCTCCACCTTAGCTGAGTAATGCGCCCCAAGACCAGCCACTTCCACTTCAAGACTTATGGGGATCAGATTCTGGGCTCCGTATCTTCAAGCTACTGCCTGATGTCGACATCTACCATGAAATCTGTGAATCTTTAAGCAAAGGCGATAGTCCTTTTGTTAGAATATACTCTGACATACCAATACCCCATAGGATAATACCTCTGATTTGTAAGCCAATCCAGTATGCAGCAGCTATACTGTGTAAGACATCCGTGGTTGCATGTCATGTTTAAGATCCTACATTGTATAACCTTGGCCATATAGCTCAATTGGTAGAGCAGCTGGCATGTATTCAGAAGGTTCCAAGTTCAATCCCTGGTCTGGTCATTGTCCAATTTTATCACCTTTCTCGTGCCGTTTGCGTCCTGCAACTGAAGAACTAGGAATAGAAGGAGATGGTGACAATTTTGGCATTGAATGTCCAGGTACATAGACTCCTCCTTAAAAACTGTGCACAATAGAGGTCCTATCTACAGATATCCCTGGTAGCACATTTGAAACATTGCAAACTGATGTTCACCCCAGCACACCAACCTATCCATGGCCATCTCAAGAGGTAAGCCAACTTCTTGTGTCACTATATGACCTGAGAATATACTAACCTGATCCTGCCAGGTGTTTGCAACTGACCTTCTTTTTAGTTTGCCCCGGCTCCAATTTTCTCATGCTCAGAAAAAGGCCGTTTTGTCCTGGGCCAAAGAGCTATCAGCGCACAATGTTCCAACACTCCATGCATTGAAGAAATGCCAAGAAAGGATTTGCAAACTTGTAGGAAACCCAACCAAAAAGAAGACTACAAATACCAGTCATGTATTCTATCAAAATTCAGTCGCTCGAGCGATTGCAAATGTAGGTTTTTTTTCAGACATGTAGTAGCTTAACTAAATCAACCCAACAATGAACAGGACTATTCAAACCTGATTACAAGATGTTCCATGCAAGATTACCCCGAAGAAGGTGATGGTTCCATGTCTCAGGTTCACCATGGAACAAAGATGTTACATGATCTCCCGTTCTCCCTTGTGGCACCTTTTATTCTCATAAATGGCAAGATATATTTTGTTGACGAACTTCTACAACAAAGCAATGGTGCCTATTTCATTCCCAAGAAAATATTCCAGTCTCCAGATCAGTTAGGTATTGTGGAGACACTAGCTATCGGGCACTCTGTCGTTCCATCTGAGGTAAGTATTCTACCTCCATCAGTCTTGCTGACATTTCAAACACTTCTCAATTATAGGCCGGTTTTATTGTGGATCCAGAGTGCATCATTGCACCAACACTCACATTTGTGCGGACATTCAAGGAAATTCAGGCTAATCCGCAGGAATTTACTGGATTTACTGATAAGTCAAATCTCCTCACATCAATCTTTCAGTCCTCTGACTGATTCATGTAATAGAATCATCCAGTTCGGACAGTCCCACTAATAATTTTCATGGATAATGTGTCCAGCAATGTATCAAAGCAGTGGAACAAGCACCATGTAGTGTACCTCTCTAACACCTTAATGCCCCGGAAGATGCTTGAGAAGGAGTTTTCTGTGTGGTTTGTTTCATCCTCACCACATGCTGCACCGATGGAGTTAATGAAAGGTGTCACTGATTCTATCCGGTTGGTAACAGCTCTCCTCTCATGTCATCCATACAACTTACACAGATCACATGTAGTGAAGCAGCAGATTTGGGTGTTATTACCTGGGATTGCAAGTATGAGCAAGAAGTCATGTTACTTCCTTACATTCTATTTGTTGCAGGAGACAACCCCATGCACGCTGAGAAGTGTAGCCATTCAGGACTGAAAAGTAACTTTTTTTGCAGAATGTGTAAAGTCGGCGGCACTCAAGCACAGAAAAAAACTAACGAGGGATATCAGAACATATTCAAAGTAAGCCATTTCTTTCTATCTCGTCTCCTTAACCCTTCTATCTCTCCTTTTTTTGCAGTGTGGGCCACCTCAAAACCCAGAAGAGACGCAAGAACAAATCCACCGGCAAGTGGATTGTTCCCTTGAGTCCGGTGGAAATAATAAAGTGAAAACTGCGGTGACAAACTCAGGGATACGCAACAGCACTAGCGCCTCAATCGTTCAACAATTGCTTGCACTGGGCAAGCAATTGCGTAAGTGTGAACCAGTGAAGCCTGCTTTACCTGAAATAGAAGTGTGCCAGCAACTCGGACAGGAGCTTGAGACCCTACTGCAGGGTTCTACACTTGACCATCACATTAACCCACTTCTAGGGATGCCAGCAGTTGATATTCATCAAGACACTCCCACTGAGATTTTGCACACCGTATTACTGGGTGTTGTAAAGTATTTCTGGGGGCAAACAGTATGGCTCCTCAAGAAGTCACATTTACTAACTAAATTCCAGACTCGGCTCAAATTTATCAACAAGGATGGCCTTAATACGGTACAGCTTGGGGCAGAATATATCTGTTGATTCAAGGGCAGCCTTATTGGCAAACATTTTAAAAGTCTTGCCCAGGTAATGCCTTATATGATTTATGACCTAGTTTCGCAAGACGTCCTTGATGCTTGGAGTGTCATTGGTGATTTGGTTGTACTTTTGTGGCACACAAAAATTGACAATACCAAGGAGTATTTGGTGAGTCCAAATCCATTAATATTGCAGACTGTTGATGATAACACATACAGGCTCAACTCTCACGAACCATTGAAGACTTTCTGAACATCACTGCAAAATGCGCACCCAGCATACTAATAACAAAACCAAAAATTCATTTTCTGCTCCACTTACCAGCCTTTATATGTAGATTTGGCCCAGCTTTGCTGTTCTCAACAGAACGGTATGAATCCTTCAACCACGTTTTTTGGCTTTTGTTGGTTTACAGCAATCGGAAAGCTCCTAGTCGGGATAGCTGTCAATTGTTTGCTTCACAAGACACCATCAAGCACATTACTACGGGTGGGTACTGGCATGACCCCACCACTGGAAACTGGTTAAATGCAGGTTGTACAATACATGATCACATTGCTAACCACCCAGAGCAACATCATCTGTTTGGACTCCATCTGAATCCTAAGAAAGTAGCGGGTACAGCCAGGTTTTTCAGCACAACACAATGCCGACTGCAAAAATATATTTCCTGGAAATCAACGCACTCGGCGCAGGTTTACATCAAGTGTCACCGTACTGCTCCAGTCAATCAACCAAGGATGATGAAGGCTTCAGCATTCATAACACAGAATGGTGATGAAGCAAAACTTGGTAGCTATGTAGTCATCTCTTCTGCATCTAACAAAAACCACCCACGTATTGGCCAAGTCATAGAGATTCTTGTGACTGAGGAGAAGCCACGAGTGGCCACTCATATTGTGATTACTTATTTAGAGTTCCTGCCAGCGCTACACCCCAAACTTCTCATTCCTTGCTTGCAAATTATGGACGTACAGGATGTGTTTACCCCAAAAGTAATTTATTTTCTATTATCGCTCAACTACAATACTGACCTCTCTATAGAATTTCCTTTGCACGGTTAATGTTCTGCATGACTGCTGTTCTGCAAACTGTAGTAATGTCAAAATGGTTCCTGTGCGGCAAGAATACAGCAAAACCACCAAGGTCACCCAGGTTGTCACACACAAGCAGTTCAACCAATATCTATGCACTTCATAATAACAGTCATATATGTTCTGTAGTTCCCCCACAACTTCACATCAAAACACCTCGGGTTTGCAATGTCAAAGAGGTTCAACTGAATGCTGCCAAGCTTATACGTGAAAAGAAGGCTCTTCAAGGGGCACAGGGGGAAGGCACCACCAGCTCTCTTGACAACCAAGGAATTGCTGTTCTACCAATACCAATGCCCGCCTTTGACCCCACACCAACCAGAAGAGGCCAAAATAAAGGAAGTAGTAGCAGTAGGCCCTCAAATGACAGTTGTCCTCTCCCTCCCACTCGACAAGTTTATCCACAATCAAGGCTCAGGCCATCAAATGTTCAAATGCTCTCCCCGCCCACACCACAACCCAGCTCAACTCCCTACCAGTATCACCATAATCAAATTCCGCTCCCTGGCCCATTTCACTCACACCATCATCAAAATCCATTGCCTCCGCCAGATTCCTATCCGCAGACTGACTATTCTCAGACACAAATGGTGTCACAGCCCTTGTATTCACCAGGCCAGCCTTTGCAGCCATTATATTCACCGTTCCAGCCTTCATACCCCTCATATTATTATAATTCAAACTAGCATTCACAGAGACAAATCTGATTTTTTTTGATACTGTTAAGTATTATCTTTCTGCATGTCAGCTGTTGCTTGGGGCCTGCAGGATTATTGTTTTTTTCCTTGCTCCATCATGTTTGTGGAGACACGGAGCTTAAAGGGTTTGCTTACGTCTGAGTTGGGCTCTATTTTTTTCCCTTCCCTTTCAGTCCCCGTCGCACCCAGAGCTCACCATTTTCTTTCAGAATAGCAGCTCGGATGTCCTTGCTCTCTCAATTCAAGTGACAACAGGTTGTCGATAGCCTCATAGGAAATCTGAATGGTGGAACATCTCCACAGTCCCCACCGGCCTTGGGTGGGGGTGTGGAGTCTATTTTTTCCAGTCTACCTAGGACTCTTTGCACTTCACGGACAGGTTTGACTCGTCCCCAGTCTTATTTATTTGAAGAGTCCAATCAAACAAGTATCAAGTGTCTCAAAGGGCTGGGCGTGGAAGTGAGCAAAACTTACAAGCTGCCTCCCCGCAGCCTTGATGCTTTCGCAGAGATAAGTACATTGTGGTATTCTTTTGGCAAGACTGATATAGCAGTTTTCACAAGCTGGGCAGTATAGTAAAGATGATGCTCGACATCAAAGGCCACCTCCTTTCCATGGACACAAATTGTCAAGCTAGTGATAGAGACAAAGCCTTGGAAAGATTGGAATCAGCGGATTTTAGGGTGAGCCGTTCCTTATTTTTGTTCATGTTTGAAAGACTCACTGTTAACACCCAGAAACTGCTGAATAATCGTCTATGAGCTTGTCTCTTCTCTCACAATCTTACAGCTTATGTGACTGATCTCGGAGACCGCGTTTTTGTAAGTGTTTGTATTTAAATTTTTTTCTTATTTTTTCAGCTGCTTGTATAGGAATTTCTTGAGAAAAATCCAAATGTCTTCAAGATCAATCCGGAGTTCCTGCAAGATCCCAAAATCCGAAGCAAGTTGAGCTCATTGATTAAGGACTTATTAACAGCTGCAAGAGGGAACATAAAGCCAAAGGTAAGGACCCATCAGATAGTATCGCACAAGCTAATAAAATACTTCTGCCTTATTCTAGCTATGGATGAGTATCCAAAAGAAACAAGATATTTCCATACTGACAAAATCTCTCATTCCGCCGAGAGTGATGGAGATCACTCTGGCCCACTGGGCCAGAATTACTTTCATGGTAAGTCAGTCTTATGCATTCCTTTGCGACATGCTCAGTGCTGTGTAGTGCGCCTTGCTAGTGGAGTTCCGCAGGATTGTTGCCTCACAAGGCTCCAGTCAAGACACAGCAGCTGCTGAGCAACAAGAAGCTGGTGGCCATAATAGCACAACTGATCAATCTGAACACCGACCGATGACTCCAAACAGCGAGCAAGATGCAGAAGAGACATGCACCCCCCATGTGTGGAAAGACGAGCAGTTCTGGGTATATGTAGACCAGCTGCTTGAAGAGTTGCGGGAGTTTGCGAAGAAGGGTACCGCGTCCACCGAGGAATGGGAAGATAACATGAAAGAGTGAGTAGTTTCTTAATGATAACTGTCTTGTGGTAATCTGATCCTTGTTGCAGCTTCTTTACTGAGAGTCTCCAAGTTGACATGGCAACTTACGCTGAGCCAGGAAGACTCGTCCCTACAGTTGACTCAGTGAGTATCGAATGGCAGAGGATGATTCATGCTCAGTTGATTTGGTGAAGGGCCGGTAGTTACAGTCTCTTTTTTTCTTTTGTTTAAGCTGCTTTCCTATGTTGATTTGTCTGCCACGTACCTACTCGCCACATCGTTTAATCACATTTGTTTATGCATTCATTCATTGCACATTCTGTAGTACGGTACAATCTCAGTGGAAAATTTAATGTCATCATCACACTCTTGCTATCTTGGTATCAGTATCAGAGCCTTGGATGGAACAGTGAATCGCAAATGCCATGATTCTATGTGATGGATATTGGTACATATATCATATTATGGTGCAGCAAGCCGGGCAGCAGACACTTCTCAAACATTGAATTGTCCTGTCAGGAAAACCATCAACAAAGCATTTCCCCGAACTACAGGTATGGGTATTCTCTGCACATCATTACAGAGGCCTCAAAGACGCAACTCAGCTATTTGCAAGACGTTAATATGTCATCATGGATATTGCCTGATAAAAACAAACCAATCAGCTGCGACTATCAACATCCTTGAATCATTCCGTGAAGGTCTTGTATAGCCACTTGGGACTACTGCGCAGGATGCATTTATATTATCTATTTGGTTATTATTGGCCACATGTTGACAGATCTTATCTTACAAATATCTCCGTAAACCTCTGTGAGAGGTAGCGCTCTTTTACCGTTTCAGAGAGGTTTGCCCGGATTAGCAGTGTAGAATGGTAATTAAATTATGATGCATGTCTAATTAGAGGCTGTTAGTTAGGCTCAAGTCCAGCCACTTCACATTCACACTCCGCAGAGAGGTTCTGTGAACCGGTTAGGACACTTGGACCTCTTTTTGGCAGGAGGTGTGACATTCCCCCAAAGGAGACAAGGGACTTACACCACCAAAACAGGTAGTGTAATTGATGATATTTGACAAAAAAGTAGAAATAAAGTTTTATTTATGTCCTGTGTGAGCCCTGTTGGTTGCTGGCAACAGCCAAATAGAAAATATTTTGTAGTGGCCTGGTGAGTGCGCCTGCCTGAACGATAACTTTAAATATTTCTGAGATCTCTGAGATTCATTAATTTGCGCTATTGCTATGTCTGTAAAAAAATTTCCAAGATATAATCCTTACAGATATAATGTTTCAGGCCTTGAGAATAGCTTTGCATTTAATATATATATCGGAAGTTTGTAACATTGTATATATATTGTAGCAAACTGCAAAACCTCATCAGACACTTTGGGTTGCTCACAATAATATAATCCTAGTACCACCAGATACCTTAAAACATGTAAGGCAATCACCGCTAAGTAAGACAACAAGAGTGTGTACAAAAGGACTACAAAAGCACGTCAAAATTCTAATTAATCAAAGATGCGGTGCTGGCAGGAAAGTGCGAGAAGATCTTGAAAATCCTGCCAGATGATGGCTCTAGCGGCTACATGAGCAATCTGCTCACCATAAGCTCCACCCTCTGCCAAATGTTGACAGTTTTTATTGTTCATTTTAGCCATCCAACTGTCGAGAAATAAACCTTCCAGCAAAATCTTTGAGCTCCAACCAGACCAGTCACTAGCAGGGAAATCTAGATATGCGGCCACAAACACCATCCAAAATGCTTCTCGGCCCCAAATCCAAGCATGGCAACGATGGTCAACCACATCCTCAAGTAACCAAGTCTGAATCTTGGCCACTAAGTTGATCCAGCACTGACTGCTTCCAGGATCAAACAACAACTTGAGGGGGAGGAAGGGAATTGGTCGGTTAATGTTCTGCAGGGAGTGAGCAATATATTTGGATTAAAATAATAGACTTACATCTCCATTACCTGATGCTCCTGCTCCTGTATGGACTGACAAATTATGACATTTGTTTATAGTATGAGAAAACATGCATTGGCCAGGGCTTGAACCTGGGACTCCAGCTTTCATGGTCTGGTGCTTTTACCAACTAAGCTACCAAGGTGTACTTGGAAAGCATACTGATTGGTTGCATGCCCAGAAGGTCCAGAATCACTGTACACAGGTGTGGATCCCATTGTGTGTTGTGATATGGACATCCCTTTTACTAAATGAAAACCTGATTGGCGACATTTGGAAAATGGGAGTCAGGCCCATGCACTCGTTAGGTAGAGCAACCATTAATTTTAAAGGCTACAAAAGAGGGGGGTGGAAAAATCAGTACTGTCAGTCAAGATTATAAAGCCAAGGAACTCACAATTTCACCCCAAGGAATGTGCGATGCAGGTACACCACCAGTAAAACATATTGACAGGTTAAATGGTTTAATCATTAGATTGGACTCATCTTCAACAACAGGGCGAGTGTACAGGATGATTGATTCTGACATAGTGTCAATGTGGACAGCAAAATGAGAGTTGAGCTCGGACTCTGGGAAAACTCTGGGAACCCGGAAACTGGCACGTGATCCAATCATTGTTGAGTTGATTGCAAGCCTTATTAACAACCCACGTTGACCACCATCTGATCTTGGGGACTCAAGATGCCCAAGGCCAGCAAAAATGCGATTATCTTAGATTCTCATGGTAAGTAAAACATAGTCTTACTATTGCAGGTATTAAACAAACATTTCACGCAGTATTTGATGTCTCGCCAGATCAGACCACAGTCGCATGTCTTGCATGCCCCAAAAAGTGCGGACAGTACCTCACCATGAGGCACTGTCATGTTGCTTCACATATTTTAACGCAAAAACAACAATAAAACACCGCAAAACTGCTTTCTCCTCCTTCCACGCACATCACTAAAAAAAGCATCTCTCCCCAACCATCTCTCCCAAACATCACCTGTGGATCGGCTGTTGACGAGCTGTCACTTTAAGGTGACTTGGCTAATGACCCAAATGAAGATCTCCCACAACCACTAGGCAAACTTTGGAGCGAGGATTTCACAGGTCGGGAATACAAAATCCCAGAGGAAGGGGTTGATTAGTATGACACTATCTGCCAGTCCCTTGAGGTGAGCCTCTTTTTACCTATCCAATCCAGCCAGCTACCGAGGAATTTGGGGTCAAGGATGAGGATGAACAGGAGAACCCAGCCTTAGATGATCTACAAAAAATGGAAACCATACATGACAGTCCCACAAACATCAACAGCGGTGCGTCAACATTCCCATGGCCTTTCATAGCAGTATGTTACAGTGTCTCAACAAACCATCAGGAAATCAATGAGAGTCCGACAAAACCAGGTATACAGTTGTAAAGCGTTATCAACTCTGACATGTCCCAATAATATATCATTCTAATGGATCATAATGTAATGATTTATATTTACTGGGTGAGTTGTTGGAAACCACAACATACATCATAATTATCACACCCAACAAAGTTGCAGCAGCAGTCTTTTGAGTGATCAACTCTAGCATTGCGGACAATACACCATAACCTCTGGAAGCCATGTCACAAATCACCAAATTCACCAGTCTGCTCCCGCTGGTCTTCAGCTTACCTCTAAGGTACACTATTGTCAGCATTATACGACTTGGATGGTAGCCTCTTTGTTGTAACTGTTGGGATATTTGAAAGCGGCGATATTTTTTCTCATGGTTATGCATATGGGTCTTGTAGTATCAGAATAGTGCTATATCTGAAAATATAGAAATATAGACAGAGTTGCTTACCGGAGGCTCATGGTTATGGGTCTTGTAGTATATCAGAAGGGTGCTATATCTGAAAATATAGACAGAGTTGCTTAGCAAATGCTTAGGACATAGCCTGATTTCACACATTCTCATAATACCGAATATTCTTGTTCTGGTGGCAGGCTGACTTCAGAGTTTGATGCTACTTCTCAGCTATGTTGTCATACAGATCATACATGTCAGTAACTCTCTTTATGCAACAGACTGTGAAGTATGATAATGCAGTATCAGTGAGATGATCTGCTGTGACAGGATTATATATTGTATCCAGTAATTATGATGTGTGCTCAGTGGCCATACACCGGGTTTGCTGGCTGCTACCAAAATCATGATGGGGCTGTTTTTGAGAGTGAAGAGCAATTGTTTCATATTAAAGTCATATTTAGATATTAACAGTACTACAAGGTCCAATTCTGACCATGTCAACCTCCTCCCATCAAAATCAAGTGGGTTGGCTCTGTAGCAGTATGCTAATTCTGCATCATGCTAAGCCTATGCCCCAACCCCTCAAAGCAGCTCGCCGCTCACAAATTTTTGCGAGTGCACTGTGTTTTGATGGTAGTGTTTTAGGAGCACAATGAATGGGAAAAACTTGGCTAACAAACAGGAAGTCAGTACTACACCAAGATGAAACAACAGCCTAGTGATGATGCTGACCAATTCCACCAATTCATCAAAGACTTGACTTCAACACACTCCTCTGGATCATCCAACAAAGTCAGGATGCTGTTGTAGAAATGCTCGGAATCAGTGGTAAGATATGTTGGTGAAAACACCTGTGCCAAAGTTAGTGCAAAACAAACCTATATTTGAGTCATCTTATCAATGCGTGATCTTTAGAATATTGAGGTGCCATAGCTTACTTGTGTAGCCATGTAGGCAATGGAGGCTCTTGTTACAGCATGCATGCCCTTTATACAGGCATTCTCAGAGCGTGTGGCCTTGGGCTCTTCATTGATGGAGCTGAGCAATGTAAAAATATGCTTGAACGCCTATAAAAGAGTTCAAATCATTAGAATAGTAGTATAATCAAAAAAGTCACATTTATAAGAAGACTGCTTCTCAATAAACCTTCCCAAGGATCATCCGGGTTGTACTTGTATTTAGCATACAGCATTATCGGCCACTAATCTCCTGAGACTTGAATTTGGCCATTGACGAGCTTTTCTCTAATTCTTATAATGACAAATCAATACATCAGATCAAAGACAAGTTGAATAATTCACTCTAAGCTTGACCAATCCATCCCTGCTGGGCATAGAAGAGCCCCTGTACGCTCGTGATTGAATACACAACCAGTCTTCACATTACAATGAATGTAAGGTGAAAGTGCTTGACCTTTATGAGTGATCCGATCAATGCCGTGCCTTTAAGACATTTTGTATCATCTGCCCTAGCCCCATTGGCACCTTTTTGAATCTGTAAAACAAATTATCGTAAGAGTATGTTGTGGTAAGAAAGATGTCCATACCAAGTTGGCAATATGGATTATTTCTTCCCCAGAGTAATCTTCTCTCATCAAATCATTCTCCAGCCTTGGAATAATTTTAAGCAGCTCTAAATATACAGCTTGTTTTTTACGTTCCCTGGAAATTACGGAGCGGATAAATGGAAATACAGAGAAAGAGGACAGTCTCATACTCAGCTGTATAGCTCTCTTTGGGCTCATCCGAAACCATACACTCAATATTGTTTTTGATAAGGCTCTGGACATTACAGAATGCATGTATTGCTCGCCCAAAATGGCGTCCATGATGGACAATAGGATCTTGGGTAGAACTGTACAGATAGTAAGTCAAACATTGGCAAGTACTTTGCCTAGTGAAGCACTGGCAGGATAGCTGCCAGCCGCCTCGCTGCATCATACAAATCAAACTCAGACTCACAGTTTTTTCCTAGGGCCCAGCTCCAAGGCAGAACTTTGGCCATGCTTGTTATTCTCCGAACTATGCCGGTATTCCCTGCCACCTTCATTTTCAGACATAGATGCAAAAGGTGGAAAATCAATGGCAGACAACTTTAGAGTACATTTTATACCTGATGCACATTACTACAGTGACCATATGACACTTAGTACTGCACAAGCAGTATATCCTCTTGAAGGACTTTTTGGGACGTAAAGGCTGTTCTTGAGTAAGTTGTGTGGCCTAAAACTTTTATAAGAGCCACAACTTGCCATGATGTGATGCTGGCAGCAAGGTAATTATAAGGTAGTTATACCAAATGCGTAAAATAGGGGGGCCTACCCACAATGGGCGAGTTGACTTTTTGGTACTTGGTGGCTGTGAAGAAAGGCAGACCCAACGGAACCCTGAGCAAAATACCAAAATGAAAAAAATGTAGTACCTAGGATAACAAAAGCTTTTTGAGGTAATGAGGTCACACTGGTATTGAGAACATGTCTACCGGATATAATCAAGTTGACTTTTTGGTACTTGAAGGCTGTTCAAGCTGAAAAGGAAATAGAACCCGACATATGTACTAGCCGCCATCATGAATAGCTGGATCTTCAAGGGATTGCTTCCTGAAATGGAAATCCATTTGTGACTCCTTGGGCATAAATGCTAGTACAGCGCCGCAGTTGTTAGCCTGAGCTCCTGGTAGCTTCAGGTTGTTGTGTGGTTTCTTCCAGTTCACAGGGCAGTCATGTCAGATCTTAAACAAGCACTACAAATATCTATGAAACACACACGCTCTTCCAAGTCATTGACTCTTCGTCTCAATAACACTGCCAGTGGAGTGATTAACAACAAGATCAGAGGGCAGGAAATAACTGTAAGGTGTGTAACAGAGTACCTCTTTGGTTGGTTTTTTTTTACAGAACTCGAACTGCTAAATAGGATGAGGGATGATCCCAAAAATCGAAAGGCTGGGTTTAATCTCAAAATAGGGAAGATTTGGAACTTCAAGAATAAACGGGTAAACCTACCTGAAGAAGAAAATTATGTTCCAGGTTTACATTAATTGTCTGAGTCAGTGCAATCTGCTATGTGTAGGAATCATAAGAAAAGGGACAGGTGCTCCTTGAACTATGAATCACAGCAACTACGACTGACTTGGAAGCCTTACAATGGGCCTTACAACGGCAAAGGTGAAACCCAAGCCTGTATTGACTTGGACTTGAACTCGGAAGGTAAGTATCCTAGCCAACTGTAGAGTGACTCAAGTGCTGACTTTGGTTTGAATTGGCTACTTGAATGGCCAATAAAACTTCATTATGGTGTGAATGCGGACTCAGAGCCCAATAACAAGGATAAAAGTGGTGATTTGGAGCCGCAGGACTGGGATGCATTAATTGCTAAGGTATCAAGGCTTGAGCACCTTCTGGCTGCAAAATCCAGTCAATTAAAAAATGTTCAAGATCGAACAGCAGATTTATCATACCAGTTAGCGGTCCTGGAGGGTTTTAGTACACCTAAGACTGACTCGGACCCACCTAGCTACCAATATGATTCAGAGGAGGTGTAGTAAAAGCACTAGTACTACCAGTGGTACTCTGAGTTGGCTTAGCATAGTTTGAAGCTATCTTATTCCTACTATTGCAATATACATGTTAAAAGTTGTCAGGATATTTCTTCCGGTGAGGTTCTTCGTACGAGAGACAGAAGTGCGGCTGTGATAGGATTTCTTGGTTGTTCAGTTGATGCACTGTGATATCTTTTCACTTGAGCAGATGACAGAACACTATCCAACCACTGAAGGATCTGGTCACTTGTCCTGTTGATATCACGGAGTGTAGCAGTGTCAGTCAAGTCCAAGAGCAAGGGCTTGCAAGTGCCCAATGCCCATTGGGTGATGAAACGGTGTACCTGTTATTGTAGTTCCTATTAGCTGGGTAGAGTATTTTGCCAGTGAAATGTAACAGTGACTTGACATACCAATACTGCAATATTAGCAACTGTTGCATTTGTTATATGGGTCAAAGGAACCCAATCTGAAGTACTAGCATTGAGGTTCACTATTCCCATATAGTGTTCCAAGCTTTGCGTAAAGTATAGCAAATCCAAAATGTGGAGGAAAGCCGGGTGGTTGAAGTAGTCCGAGTCACACCCAGCCTGGGCCAGAGCAAGACTGGACTCGGCAGAATTTCTCTGCAAATGAGTGAAGGTTAATCTAATGAGTGTTAGTAAAAGAGCAAGGTGATATTATCTCAGTAGATACTAGATCCATATAACTAGCATGGAAAAAACCAAATTCAGTGCTTGGATTCCACTTGAGGAGGCCTCGCGCTTTGATGCTGGTGGATTTTTTTGATGTGCTGGCGGTCAGGAACACTGAATCATTGAGTTGAAAAGAAGATGTATGGATAAATCTGTAGATTGCACTGATCACTTTGTGGTGGTATATCGTTATTGCACAAAGGCAAGGTTCTTGAACCTGATCCGAGTCAAGCGTCATCACATCTGTATTGAAATATTCAGAGTTAGCTGACCATAAATTTACATTATAGATTTAAGCTCAAATTGTCACTCGCCGTGTTCTACATGACAATTTTCTCCAGTACAATGAATGCCGATACCCATATTTACAGCCCTTAAAGCAAGCTGCAACGCAAGACAATTCCTCGGGAACATTGTATCCACAGTGAGGCTGGAATTTGTATACTGTATAGCTGTAAGTTGAACTATGCGCCACATAGGAGCGATATCTTGGAGACTGTCTAAGAATGCCGTATTCATATCTTTGATTGTCAACGTGAGGGGTGCAAATTAGTCATAGCAAGAATTTTGATGTACCTTCCAAGTTGTTGGATACCCCGCTAGTCCAACTGCCCACAATATAATTCACAAATGCAGTGCGAGAAGCTACAGATTGAGTAAAAGAGGGTTAGCATTGATAAGAATTGTGTTGGTAAGAAATTGTACTTGATGTGTCAGTCTGAAATATGTCAGCTCTATTGGAAGGGCCTCCTTCAATGAGACTGCTGCTGGTGCTGCTGGAAGCAGCGGATGGGTCGGAAGGGCCAGGAACAGGCATAGTATTCACAAAACCCATAGTGTCTACTACCTCACCTCCACTTACTACAGAATCTGCAGGAACACTGGCTGATGCTGTGGCATGAGGAATGAAGAACCGCTAATTTTCCCTTGCTTGTTGATGTCTTGGGGGCCTGCGGTGAGTAGGGCCACTAAAGGGCTCCCTAGTGTGCATGGATGAGCTTGAGGAGTCTTCACCAAGCCATAAGTGGTACACGTCACAATAATGCAAAAGAAACAAATTATGTACCTTGTGCTGCCTGACCTCCGCCAGTAGCAACAGGGGAATACTTGTTGGTAACACCAGGAACATTGTCCGCTTCTAGTAGGCGTCAAAGCATTGGCTCCAAATCCAGATCTGTGTTTGGATATACAATACTGGGGGCTTGGTTGCTGGCCTGTTGGAAGTCGTTGCTGACTGGTTGAAATCCACTGGCCTGTTGAAATGAACAAGCTGATGGTCCCGTTTTATGGGTCCCTTAAAAGGTACTGCTAGTAACTATCAAACAATATCCATAAACCCCATCCACCAGAATACCAGCTGAAGATACGCACTATGAGTTGCTGCTGTGAAAGTGCTACTGGAATATTGGTATTGACCATGCATAGACTCCACAGCTGATTGAATGAGCTGCTCATAGTCTGGATGGAGAGGCGCAGTGTGGTGAGAATGGCATGGATGGGGATCAGTCTGGGCTGCACTTGCCTTAGACTGGTACCAAACCCAACCCAAAAATGTTTGCAGCTTGAATCACAACTTGCATTCATCATTACCATATCTGCGACAAAGGCCATCAACAATATCCTGAAGCAAATCACGGGTCCAGTTGGAATCAAGACTCGGATCTAGCAAATATCAATGTCACCGATAAGCGCTCAGATGTTATGAAATAAAAAAATTACTGTTGTGTTGAGACATTGGTAAGTCAACTCAATGGACTATCAAGGATCTACTTTCCAATGATTGATTGTTTTAATAGTTTTGAGGACTATTTAGGATACGTTCTGATATCTATGATAACAAGAACTTGAGGATGGGACAATAGCCTGAACAAGACCTTTGCTTATTCTTAGCCAATGACTAGACCGGTGACACTGAGCTCACATGAACACCAGATAATTTTGACGTGAGAGATCAGACTCGGGGGGTGGAGGCAATCCCATTTGGAGCTGGAGGTTGTCCGCACAGAGGTTATTACAACATTGATTCTGCATAATTTTGGAGACTCGGGCTGCCAGTGAGTGTGTTGAATTAACTAGAAGCTTCATATAACCTGTTCATAGATCGTAGATCTGAAGCGTGAGCCTGAGGAACTTGAATAAAAATGTGAACAGCATGAGTGACTCACTTGCCGACTCAGAGTTGTCAGGCTGGCTGTACTGCACCAACTTGAACCAGTACTGCCAGTACTGGTTCAAGTTGGCGCAGTTTGAGTGGCCACTGGCAGGCCCTGAGTGTTTAATGTATTATTTTTGGCATACATCATGGTCCCTGGGGTCCAGAATCTCTCTCAACCTCGCCTAAGGCTATGTGTGCATGTGTACCCACGAGTCACCTTTTATAAGGAGTTTGACTTCATACTAACAGCAAAAACAACACAGATCTTATTCCTCAAGAAGCAAGTCTAGCACACTACAAGCAATACAAGGCCAACAGTGTTAACATGCAATGATATCCACAGTACCCCGTGTCCCAACCTTATCCCGCCGCTTGAGCTAAAAGTGAACAGCCTGCTGGTCAGCACTCTCCAGGTCAAGCTCTTTATTCTCCAGCTATGAGTCAACACAATAACTCCCATTTGAGTGCCAGTGCTCAAGCACCCAACAAGCTTTTCCCTGTGGCACACCCAGTGAGTTTACAATCTGAGTCCTCAGTACAAGTATATGGATGCTACAATAGAGCTCACTGTACTTTGTGTTAAAGGCCTTTCCTTTGCATATCAGCACCAACAGCGCCAACTTGCAAGATTTATTAGATTTTGCAGTGGCTGTTCAAGATGAGCGTGAGGCGGAAAAGATGTTTGTGGAAATGAGAGCATGGAGAAGCCAAACAGAGGCCATACTATTCTAAGGACAGCTTCCCAGTGCTGTGAAACGTCTGGAGTAGGCTTGTTATGGTAGTAATTTTGTCACCAGAATAGTTAAGGACCTTGGAATTGAGGTAAACATACCTCAAAGTTGTATCAGGTCTCAATTTCATGGAATACGTAGTAAGCATGTGTATGACAATGACAGTGACAAGTCAAACTCTCCTGGAGAAGATTGATATTGCTGTAAGTAGTTCTATGACTCAATAACAAGTGTTCTGCTGAGAACACTTACTATGTTTTATCCTACTGTTTTGTCCTGTTTCCCGGTTGGCTATTTTTTCAGAACATGTTTTCAGCAATAGATTCATCTTGAATTGGAGAAATCCGGAGGAAACTCAGCTGAATTCACAACTTCCAGGTTGAGCCTGACTACATTGGATTGTCCAAAACTGTTAAACAGATTATCTTCAGCTGACCTGGCTTGGCTTGTGGCCTTTATCTATTAATAGAATGTGAAGAGGAAATGGGGGTGCATTCTGCGCGTGGAAGTGGAAGCGGCTGCATGATTCACTGGCAAGTTCTACGCAAATGAGATGGCTGTGAGATGATTGATTCTCCTACTGCGCGGTAGTACCCAGCCAATCAAAATGACTTCTCATTCATCATGGCAGGCAAGGGTTTAGGGCTGATCATGAGTGTTTAGGATTGAGGCTGCCGTGAGGCATGGTGAGTTCAAGCTCTTGATAATTTAATTTGAGATGCGACTAACATACCGCTCCTATCCCACTCAGGCTGACTCAGATATTTTAACTTTGCTTGCCTGGCTCTTTATTTCAAGCTAGTCATTGTCGACTCAGGCAAATCCATGTCACTTTTAGTGGTCCAGGTGATCCGCTGGTGCTTTCCCACATTACAGGATGCATTCTCCCACAGGTTGGGTCCATTGGGTTTCTACAGATATTAGACATCATCAATGGGGGCCTCTTAGGTGCATCTGAGTCATGATTGTGCTAGCAATGAAGATATTACTAACCAGAGAGGCAGTGGTGGGCAGGAGGAACTTCAAGTTAGTGGGCGGGAGGAACTTCAACTTTAAGTTGAACTTACTACGCTGACAGTCACAGTTGTGTTCAGGTTTCCAACAAGACAGTTCAAGTTCAAATTGCCAGTGAAGTCACAGGCAGTATGCCACACATACAACTCAGAGATACATTACAACTTATCACAACCAACTGTCAGGGTTACCACTAGTGCTATACAGCATTTTACTAGTAAGACTCAGACTCGGAATGACAGGTTCACTCAGATTGGCAATACATTAGCCTCATTATCGGCTACAAAATCACAGCAACCTTGAAGGCCCGACTTTGAAGGTAAGTGCTGCCACTAGTTCTACTGCCGTGACTTTTTCTCTCTTACTGCCTTTTCTGAACACTGAGGCAGTGCTCATTTTTAGTGGCAGTGCAGGTTACACCGTAATAGTGGGTCTATAAACTGATCTTACTCGCAGACAACTTGAACATGCGAGAGAGTCGCATTGCCACTTTGGATACCAGTGGCAGTGCTGATCATAACTCTACGGAGCCAACTTGAAGGTCAGTGGTCTTCGGGTGATTGTCGCTTGGTACCCACTAAGCCCCAGTTTATCATTTAGGCTACTGGTACTCGGACATAGGGGACATTCAAGTTAACCAGCTGGGTCTGACTAGTCCTCACCTTCAAGTTTAAGTCATTCAAGTTCAATTGGCAGTATGGAGGACTTCAACAATGTTCCAGTAGCCGCAGGCTTCCGCCAGGTGTGCATTTGTGGTTGTTCTTTTTCTCATATAGGACCGTTTACTAGGCATTAAAAATCGTGCTTGAGGGGAAAAAAACGGCTCTCAGGAGCCCTGACCAGGGCAAAGGAAGCCTTTAACAACAAGAAACACCGGTTGGAATTCCAGTCAAGCCATGTCACACTGGAGTTTGAAGGAACTTCATTGGAACAAGTAGATGGCGGCAGGGGTCTGGGGAGCCCAGTAATCTTGCCAGTGGTTCTGCCTTTGAATTGCTTCAATCCAGCTCCTCTGATATAAACCCAGTGGTAAGAATCATAGTATTCTCAACACTATTGGTTCCTACTGTAATGTGATCACTCTGCAGCCTATAGAGCCAAGTGAAGACTGGGACAGGTCTTCAAACAACTTACCACTTGCGCAGCGCAGAACACGCAGAGCAGATCAACGTCTGCCACTGCGCTTCTGAGATTTTCTCCCTGAGTCTCCTCCTCCTTTATGTACTACTCTATTATCCCAATCATCCAACCCGACCATCTCAGTTCTCGAAGCCAATAATTCTCATCTTGAACCATTTACTGCGAACATTAGCTCTCACCCTCCAGCTAGTATATGCATGCAGTCCATTCATGATCGTGTCAAAAGATTTTTTGACACACCACGGAACATATTTGGACTATTTTGCCGATTTCACAGAGAGGAGCTACCATCACATGACCCTGAGGACTGAGAAGACTTGGATACCTCGGAAGACACGCCCACTCCATTTTGAGTTGAAGGGCATAGTGATTATTCTTTCAGCCTGTACCCAAACAAAAGTTGCTTTCGTCTGGGAGACTGGTATTGGAATTATAGTGTTCAGAAGTCGCAGGAATATTTCAGGCAGCTCATTGATATCATTGGAAACCCATCCTTTTGTCCTGAAGATGTTCAAAATGTGAAGTGGAGCAAAATCAACAAGGACTTGGGCCTCAATAATCTCAATGGTGAATGGCTGGATCAGGATGCAGGCTGGCAAAAACACCTGTAACCATTTCAGTTCCATTTTATAGCAGATCAGCAGACCCTGGGACTCATGACCATCATGTTACTGATTTGTTCCATCATTCACTCATTCAGATCCTTCGCAATAAGCTCGCAAACCCTCGTGATGACCAGCTTTTTAATTATGAGCCATACAAACTGTTCTGGCATCCAAGTGATCAATTGCACAAAGTTTGAGACCACAGCAAGGCTTATACTTTGGATGCATTTCTGAAAGCTCATCATGAACTTTAAAGATCCCCACCAGAGCCCAGGTGCAACGTGTGGTGGCTGGTTTCATGTTTCCGTCAGATTCCACCCAACTTACTAATAAAACTAAGTGAAACTCAGCCACTGCCCGAGAGGCTATAGAAACAACTTTATTATTTACCTAAGTGAAAATACAATAGATGTTAGTTTAAGCTGATCTCTAATAAATGTAATGTAACATACCTCAGCCACTGCCCAAGAGGCTATAGAAACGACTGAGGTATTCCTATACTAAACCCCTTACTACTTATAGTCGGAGGTGCTACTTGCTACAGTATAATGACCCCTAGGAGTACAATTGTGCTCCTAGGAGAACAATGGTTACTCCATGGAGTGGTGGCTATGCTCCATGGAGAACAATGGCTGCTTCGGCAGAGACTGGGTTTATCCGGTTTTGTCACTCCCACTCAAGTGCAACCATAGTCCCATAGCTTTAGAGAATTTCCAGTGTTTTTCATGAGTGAGGGGTTTAGTGAGAATGTCTGCAACCATATCTCCTGTAGGAATGTATCTGATTACTGCCTCTCCCTTTGATACTAAGTCATCTCAGATAAAATGATATTTCCGTTGAAAGTGTTTTGTGCAAGCACAGAACTGTGGATCTCGTGTAAGAATGATAGCTGCTTGATTGTCACAGTGCAATGTTGTAGGTCCATTTTGAGCATGTCCAATTTCTTCAAAAAATGTCCGAAGCCATGCAAGGTGTTGTCCAGCATTGCTCAATCCAATGTACTCTGACTCCGTGGAGGATAAAGCTACCATGCTTTGTCTTTTGCTTGTCCAAAAAATTGCTCCTCGGATGGTGATAAAGACAAACCCTGATGTTGATCGAGACGTGTCTGGGTCTCCAGACCAATCTGCATCTGAATATCCATAGAAATCCATGTCCATGGAGACATCTGTGCCATTATATTGTAGTTCTATGTCCCTGGTTGCTTTCAGATATTGGAGGACACATTTTGCAGCTTCCCAGTGATGGCTCCTTGGAGCTGAGCTATGCCTGCTTAGTATTCCAACGACATAGGCAATGTCTGGGCGGGTTCCGAGCATGGCATACATGAGGGAGCCTACAATTGAGAGGTATGACACTTGACGCCCTTCAATATGCATCTCGTGCTGCACAATATCTTCCCCTGGAGCATTTGCAAGGAGTTTTGATCCATGGGCCATTGGTGTCCACACTAGTTTGCAGTTCTTCATTCCAGTATACTCCAGGACTGTATCAATGTATTGGTGTTGCAATAGGGATATTGTTTTGTTTGAACAATCACGTTGGATGTCTATTCCGAGGATGTATTTTGCTTCTCCAAGGTCCCGCATTTTGAATATGGATTCGGGTTTGGCTTTTGTGATATCCATGAATTTTTGGGATGAAGCTCCTAGGAGGAG